CTGTTTTCTCAGAACCCGACGGAGAATCCACCCGCAGACTCAACGAAGATATTGCTCGGATTATTGGTCCTACTGGTGGCAAGATACAAGTAGACTTGGACGCTGCCCACCGCAAGTGGCCAGAATTCTACGGCAAGCCGAAGGCCAACGTCGAAGCAAGACACAACCACCCCGCCCCCAAGTCCACGGGCTCATTGCGTCACAAGGACACCGTCTCCCATAAGGCTATTGTCCAGAAGTATCTTTCCAACATGGACGACGACTCCACGGACATGACATGGCAGGGTTCTAAGCGGACGCGTGCTGAAATGCAGCCCCGCGTCGAGGACAACGAGTCCGATATGTCAGCCAACATGTCCAAGTCACCTTTCCGATTCGATATCAATGCCGACAGTTTCAAGTTCAACCCTCAACAGCAGATGAACCGTAGTCCCTTGTCAAGAGGACACGCTCGATCAGCATCTGGCAACCACAAGTCAGCACGACGATCTTCCTACGCCGCCAATACAGACCGACGGAAGTCAGACTTCCTGGCTCCCCCCACACAAGCCACCCCGAAGCAGACCGCAGCCGACATTGTTCCTACGAATAAGTCTACGCCTGTCACCTTCAACACGATCCGAAGCACGTTCCCTTCGCCGGCCACTACCGATAGCCCGGCACAGAATGGCGCCACGTCACGCTCTTTCTTCATGCCCGATATCTCTCACCTCAACGACTTCATCTCCGGCAACTTGCGCTTCAATGGGGCAGTGAAGAATGGTGTGCCTGTCTTTGTGAAGAACGGACAAGTGCGGGACCGCATTGATACCTTGCCGCCCAATGACCATGCCGAGGTGGACGGCCTTGCGATTCCCGAGGATGAAGAGAAGATATTCGTGTCCATGGATATGATCAGGAACGAGATTTGCAATCTTCAGGAGCACGATGATTTGGTTCAGCAGCATGCAGTAGAGCTCGAGAATCAGGTGGACCATCTTCAGACCGAACTGAAGCGCATCAAGGGCCGCAAGTCCATCGATAGTGCCCTCGGATCCCGGACAGGCTCAGAGCCGGAAACGGCTGGCGAGGAGCGCTATCAGACACAGAAACTGAGTGAGTATCATGAGACTGCTTGTTGAAATTCCATCTAACCAGTGACAGAGTTGGAGTCGCAGGTAACATCTTTGCAAGCACGCTTGGACCAGGCAAGCACCCGGCTCGGCATTAACGAGGTCGAAAATAACACCTTGTCTTTGGAGCGAGACCGGGCTTTAAAGAAGCTTTCAGACGCCTGTATGCAAATCGGCGATCTCATGGATCAACTCGAGATCAAGGGAAGAGAACTCCACGAGACCCAAGATAAGCTCAACGCCACTCTGGAGTTTACCAACCAGCAAGAGGTGTTCCGCCAGGAGAAGCAAAGCCATGAGGTCCGGTCCGCCGATAACAAAGCTCTTCAGGAAGAGAACCAGACCATTCGCAAGGAACAGGAAACTCTGCAACAGGAAATGGAGTCTCTGCGGACAGACAACAACTCTCTGAGGCGCGAACAAGAATCTCTCATCAACGAGAACAGGTCTTTGAGGGCTAATGCGCGATCACTCATGTCTGAGAACGAGGAGCTTCGCCAGACCACGACCAATGCCAAGGAGGATCTTGAGGCAGCCCGCGATGAAGTCGAAGCCTTGCAGGTAGAGCTTCACACCATGGAGCAAGAGAAATCCACTCTCAAGGAGGACAACGATAGCCTCGTTCGCCACAACGAGAAATACTTCAACGAGAACAAGATCCTTCGCCGCGAAAACTCGGGTTTCGAGCGCAGCATTCACGACCTTCACGACGAGAATATGCAATTGAAGGAGGAGATTGAGTTCCTCAAGCAGCAGCTCGACCACTGCCGTCCTCTCGGAAAGACGGATGACTTTTCCGTGCGTCTGGATAAGGAAGTTGACGACGAGGAAACTGAGGAGAACATGACTTCGGCGTTCTTCATGCCGGACATTACGATTGACAGCACACAGAACTCGAGGGTTCTCGATTTCACTCCCGAGCCGAAGAAGATCCGGAGGCAAGCGACGCCAGGCAGGAAGGCTGCCGAGATTCAGGACACCACTGAGCAGACAGATCGCAGTGTCAATGAGCTCGACAACACTGTTCAGAGTCAACAGAGTTCCGTCGCAGCCGAGGGTCGTTCTAAGAGACGAGACTCAACCCACCGTGCGCAGGACTCGACCAGTCAGCAGAAAGTGTCCTTCTCTCTCCCCGAACGGTTGGCAGCGAGTTCCAAATCCAAGAACGCGAAGGAAAAGAGCAGTAAGGCCTCCAATACTGCCAACAAGGGCAGCAAGAGGAGCATCTCTGCCCAATCTACTCCCAAGAGCTCTTTCAAGGGGGCTTCTCTCCCCGATCTCGACCCGTTTCAAGCCGATGACGAGGGCAACATGCAATCGCCTGAGCACACCCAGACGCAGACTCACTCCATGGTGATCGACATGAAGACGAAGAGCAAGAAGGAGTCTCGTACTGTCCACCAAGAAACAACGAACACGACCCGAAACTTGACTAGCCAGAGCCAGAAGTCATCAAAGTCCACGACCAAGCCTTCCAAGGACAAGTCCATTACCGTCGATCTGATTACGCAGGGCGGGCTAGACTACACCTCGACTACTGATGTCAAGGGCAACTGTCCTGCCTTGACCTCCGACGCTCGACGTGTCCTGGATAGCTTGGCCGGACACAGCTGTAAGAACTGCATTGTGTGCACTCGGATCAAGGCTCATCGTGGAACGATCACTTCTGCCGACATTGCAGAGGGAAAGAAGCGAGTGAAGATCTCTAGGCCTGTTGCTCCCTCGGATCAGTATAAGACGCTAGGCAGTGCCGCGGACGACCTCACAATGCGTCCTTCTCAGCCTCCTGGACATGCTTTGGCAAAGGTCATCAAGGGTCTCGAGGATGAGCTGGAGCACATGAAGATGGAACACGCCAAGATGCAGGCTCGATACGATAACCACAACCCTGCCCTTGCGGAGACGAAGCGCAAGCAGCTCAAGACAAACATTGACGCCAATATGAACGCGCAGGAGGTCAAGAACGGCCAAATCTACGCACTCTACGATGTGCTCGAGGGACAGAAACAGGTTGGACAGGATATGTCGGATGAAGAGCTCGACTTGACTGTCTTCAGTATTACCGGATTGAGTGTCAGGGACATCACTGACCAACTCACTTGGGAGGGCATTCAGGGTTAGGATCATGGCATGGCTTGACGCTTGCACTATGAGCGAGGCATTGCCCTTGTAAGGCGTTTTGGGTTGTATTTTGCAGATATCAGGTTGTTGGACGGGAGTATGACTCTGGTTCGAGTCACTCAGGAGAAGGAAATTGTCACAAGTTTTGTTGTTTTGGCTCTGCTTATTACTCTGGTCCGAATTGTATATATACCAGACCTGCGAGGACACCAGTGTTGTTGGCGGAGAACAATCGAAAGGGATACCCCATATCATTAACATACTCTGACTTTACTGTGCATGTGATTTTGAACCGCTCGCCCCCTTTCCTTGGAGCTTTCCACTGCGTCTCGGGAGACGTTGAGATGATTGGGGTTGACTGACGGAACCAGCTTAATCAGCGATTTTGACGCCAAGAGCAAGCTCGCTGTGAACTTCCCAATCGGGAAGTGATCTACAGACTAACACGGGCTGTCGACAATATCGTCGGCTTCGTTGTCTACATTGATGCTTTGGCTTTGGCTTGACAATCACTCTGCTTATAAACGTGGAAGCTTATGTCAGTCCTGAAGACAGCAGACCCTAATTCACGACGCCGGATGCTGATCGATGAAGATGCCTTGTTTGGAGACTCGACTACATAATGGCGAGACAGAGCGAGTATAAGAGGATGGCTTCCGCCATTTTCTAAAAGCCAAAGGATCTCCAGCATCAACAGACTCATAGCAGCTATACAATTGCCTTACTCTAGACATCAACCTTCTTCTGTACCCATCTTCAACCATACAAGCCTTCCGCAATGCGTGTCGCCATCGCCGGTTCAGGTGCCGTAACCCGCTACTTCGCCGAAGAGCTCCCCGCAATGGGCATCGACCTCGTCATCCTAACTCGTTCCCTCAAACCCGAGCTCGAAAACATCCAGGGCGTCCGCCAGTTCGTGACGGATTACTCGGTTCCTTCGATCCTAGAGGGCATCGAGGGCTCCGTCGCCCTGGTGTCCAACATTCTGGACTACTCCCCGGCCTTTATCGACGTTCACGCGCGCCTCATTGAGGCGGCGAAAGTCAGCAAGACGTGCAAGCGCTTCATCCCCGCCGAGTACGGCGGTAACCTGGAGGACTTTCCCGACCAGCCGGGTTTCTACGCCCGTCGGCAGGGGGTGGTTCGAAAGATGCTGGAAGAGCAGCAGACGGGGCTGGAGTGGACGCTGCTTTCGACCGGGTGGTTCATCGATTATGTTGTGCCGCGCAAGAACCGCTACCTCAACGACGGCGGGGACGCTATCCCCGTCAACCTTGCGGGTGGAAGCATGCTGATTCCCGGGACCGGCAAGGAGCCCCTGGATATGACCGCCGTTCGGGACGTGGTTCGTGCTGTGGGCAAGCTCCTCTTCGCGCCGAGCTGGGAGCGGTATACGTACATCTCGGGAGGGAAGGCGACCTGGAATGAGATTGTGCTGTTGATGCGGGAGAAATACCCGAAGATCAGTGTGAAGTATCGCAGCCTTGCTGAGTACATTGAGGATATCGTCGCCAACCCAGACCCGAATGGTGAAGAGCGGATCATTGCCGAGTATGGCATTTTCTCGGCCAGTCATGCTGGGGATCTGCCTGTCGACAAGGTTGCTGCTCATCGCGAGAAGTACTTTTCTGGCCTCAAGCTAAGGACTGTGAGGGAGTTGCTGGCCGAGGTTGAGAAGGACCCCGAGGTTATCGTTTAGGGCATAACAGACTAGGTGTTTCTTGGAAACAGGAGTGGAAGGTCTAGATAGTCTTCGCAGAAACTACCTCAATAGAGAATCACATCAAACTCTGGCATCCGTGAAAGTACACGCGTCCAAGGCTCCGGTAAGACACCTGGGGCAGCCAAATCGCGGCGTTTCCAGATCGCCTCAACCGCGAGAAGCAGCGTATCCCAGGTAGCGATCCCGAGTGACTTTCGTCTGGAGAACAGCAACCTTGCCCTATCTCGTAGTTCCGGCGCTCTGGCCTCGAAGGCCACTGTGGCGTAGATCCACGCTTTGGGGCTGCTGTTCTTTTGTAAGGATTCGAGGTGCTCCATGTGGTCGAGACACCTAGCAACCAGATCTTGGACGTCCTCTTCGGGGCCTCGCCTCCCAGAGTTACCCTTGAAGTATAGTAGGCACGCGTGGTAGAATAGCGAGCGGTGGTGGTGCACCATGGCCGACTCGGCGTTGCTGGCGTCGTAATCTAGAGAAGGCTCGGGCGTGGACAAGGCGAATTCGATCTCCAGCTGGTCGAGGTCTTCTTCTACAAGGATTGGGGAGTGCACAAGTTTTGCGTTGAAGGTGCAGACCAGCTCAAGAGATCGTACCGGCATTATTTGGCTCTTCGATAGCTCGACATCTGGCAGATATGTCTTCATCGGGACGGGAGCGTCTAGTCGTCCGAGGTACTGGGCAAGTACCGTGGCGAAGGTGGATGAGCAGGACTCGTACGTCAAGGCGGCGGTAGTCGACTGTCTCCAGGTTTCCATGCTGGTATCGTCGAGGAGGTCACGGGTCACCTTTATGACCTCGCGCCAGGCGCCCGCGGTGCCGGTGATGAAGTGAGTGAGAATCCATAGGCAGAGAGTGGCCAGGCTCGCCATCCGCTCGTCGTGGTCTCTGCAATTCATGTTTTGCATAAGGTGGTGGAAGCTCAGCTGTTTATGACGGAGCATCAGATCTGCGTAGCCGGCATGGGCGTCGGTGCCTCTGAGGTTCGCTTGGTGGGCTGCGGAGATGGCGCAGACGGCGTGGAACAGAGCGACGGTGGATGTTGATCTCGTCTTGGCGAGGCGGCTTCCCTCGAGAGCCATGGGTGATACAGTTGTCAGAAATGGGTTCGCTGGGGTGCGAATGGGTATCATCTTGTGTGCTAGGTTCGTCGCCCAGTGGTTGATGAGTTCTCTTTCTCGAGCAGGAGCTAATGGTGCTTCTAGTGGCCATGCCGGATTACCCATGGGGGATAGATCCCAGTGACTGAAAGCGTCAAAAGAAGTCCACTCAACATCCAAACTACTGTTCTGTAGTATTTCCAGTCCTTGGTCGTGCCATTGGACGTTTGGAGACGGTGGCTCCCTCCTCGCAGTGCTTATACCAGCTTGCCAGGCATCTTCAACCCTGAGGCGTGGTCCGCACGCCCGAAACCCTAGAAGCGGGCCGGTCCGTTGAGCATCGACAGCTGTAAATTTCCCTTGATTCGGCGATTGTGAAGGGTTCTGCGGTGAGGAGCTGACCTTCGTCTTCGGCCGACGCCGGCCACCACTCCTTGATGTTCCCGTTCCCGTGGGCGAGAGCCAGGTCAGTCGCGTGCCATATCCTTGACATGCGAACTTGCCAGCAACGCAGCGCCGGCACGCTGGTCGCTGTTCGTCGCATTTCACATGGCGTTCGCGGCAAGTCCAGCAGCCTGTGAAAGTTTTCTTTCGCTTACTTCTGGCGATCTTTTGTAGTGGTCGGTTTTGTGATTCATCAGTTGCTGGACGCGGGGTTAGCTCGAGTAGCATCTCGCCATTGATAGCAGGCCGTAGCATCTCGAATTCGCTATTCTCGTTGTCAATGTTGGCCATTTTCATGGCTATACTGAATGTCTTAGATGACATGACATTGCGGAACATGGTATTGCATCGAGTATCTCGAAAGGTTCAGTGCCAACTAGTTTCCCTCGACACGTTGATTAGTCAGTCGACTTCAGCCAGCGTGTAAGAAGAAGAAACGCTGACACTGCCAATTATCGTACAACACTAAACGTTCTGCGATTAGACATTTCTAGTCAAATAATACCTGAGACTGAACTGTGACTACTTCGCACAGCTACGCGTCGCAGCCTTAGCCTCATGTACCTCTCTAAGCAGCAACGGTGAACTCATCCACTTTTCCATCCCAGAGAAACTTCCTCTACTCACTGTGGCATGCCCTCATCAACGAGTCACAGCAGTCGATCACTTCTTCCGGAAGAGATTTGTCGACACAAATATGCCAAGGGACGGATGGCAACCTCCTAAGCTTGTGAAGTAAAGGCTGAGCATCGGGCTGATTGACTTCCCCTCTCGCAGGCCTGTAAGGCCCATAAACTCTTCGATCTGCATCCGGCAGGAACTGCTTTTAGTTCATGCTTCGCGATGCTGCCGGGCTGACGTATTTGGGAATTGCGGTCTCTGAAGAACATTGGCGATTTGGAGGCATTTAAGTACCATCGTTCCCGAGGTCCCTGCAACGTGCCTCTCCATCCAGTTTGTGGCCATTCACTTATGCTAAGGTACCTTGCGTGGTCCGTACCTTCGACTTTGAGAAGGAAGCTAAAGTTTCAGCATAGGTCGGCCGTAACTTGAGTGAAGCAGTATTTGAGTGACATATATCATTCATCAAAGATAGCATGGGCGCCAAGGTCAGCTCAATACAATGCGCTATTCGCGCCGATTCCAGATGGATCATCTCGCAGCCAAACCGTCCATATGATGCCTGGTAGCAGTGCTCTTTCCTGTAAGATATTAAGGTAGCAAGCACCCCAACGGCTGCCTGCCAGGTTCCAACGGTTTGTTTGATCACGTGAGTAGAAGATCCAAGGACATACTCCGTACTCCGTACCGTTCTGGCCAATCAAAAAACAGCAACCTGGTTTTGGTTTTTCATTGGCTGTAAATTGATCGGATCCACCGAGTGATTGAGGCCAATGCCGCCCCACTCTGCTGCCCTCTGGGCACCTATATAATCCCACCCAATCTCCCGCCTTTGCATGGTTTCCTCTTTTCCTTCTTCATACTTACCTTCATGGGCAGTCTGGGGATCAAGAAATCCGGACTGCAGAGAGGGATGCCTGCATTGCACATCGCGGAGTAGACCTCTCTCGATTGTCCTTCGGGGCCATCGCTGTGGCAATTTTTGATTTTCAACCACACTTTTCATTGTATTCGTCGCCTCGCGCGATGGTATGAAGAAGAGTTCCACTGGAGGTGGTCGAGTGCATATCTTCACTTATTTCCCGCTCGCCTTAATAATGGGAGTTGACTGCGACTCATTTCCACCTCGCCTAGAGATGGTGACCGGGCAGCGATCCACGCACGCGCGCTGAATGCATTGATGTTCGCAAGTGAGCGGCGGTAGCAGGCTGACTCTACAAGTTCTTCGCTGAACGCACACATCCTTTGAGCGATCTCATGCCAAGCAATTCTAGGAAGGAACTTCCCATCGAGACCTTCCCTGAGTATATATGCGAGACATGCGGATATGTAGCTCGCTGGAAAGGGAAGGCCGTATATGTGCCCGTGCCTGCTTACCTTTCAAGAGACGGAGGTGAACGGGATGCCTCCTTCCCGTAGCCTTTAACATGTGGAAGTTGCCCTGACTGTACCTTCCTGCCTCGTATCTGTTCCCATACTGAGCAAAAAATTGGATCGTCAAGGACAGCGTGAATGTCCCGCGAAGACACAGTTTCGTTCTCTTTTCCCCTTCAATTACCACACTTCCAATTGTCAACTCCAGATGCAATCGACACAGCCCCTGACCAAGACCTCTACCTATACAGTCTTCGAAAATGAGAAATGCATGTGAATTAATCGACGCTTCACTTCACCTCGTAAGGCAATGCCCATCAACAGACACAGCTTAGGGTGCGCTGACACCTGGAGCCGGAGGAGAGACCGTAATGCCAACGAGGGACTCATCATTGCTCATCTCGATGTCTCAGGCCACCCTGCCACCAAGGCTCGACTCCACAAGTCATGCCATGCACATCAGCCTCCAGTCGAGTCATCAATTGGCCTATGTGAAGCCCCGTAAGATGACGACACCCTCACATTCACCAGGTACTCTGCTCTCTTGCATCCTGACTTTGAGTCCCGCTTGGTATCCCGCGAGTGTCGATAAAGATGCGGCAGCCATCTCCCTTTTCCAGGCAAGAAAGGCTTCTACAGCTGCAAGTTCGCGGTCAAGTACGAACCAGATCCAGTCGTGTAGACAAACATGTCAGCAGGCGCTTCAGCTGGCTGACCTCAGCCGGTCGCTTGCGCAAGGCGGCCGGGAAGGGAGATCGTCCCCGGCAGTGCTCATTGGACGGCGGACGTAAGTTGAGAGTCAGCATCGAGTTGTACACACTTATCACTTCACTTCCTACCTTCTGAATCCAGACATTGGATGACAAGTATGGGACCCCGCCGTTCTTGGGGGCGGTTTCGAGGATACACTTCAACGGCAAGCTGAACGGCAGCGCGTCTGTATGCTTTCTTATTCGTGGCAGATGCTGACGATTGAGACAAATTCCATTCGTCGTCTGCCTGGTGGCGGGATGACATGCTGCTACACGAGGCTCGAGATGCTGGCTTGATGCAGAAACTGCCTTGAACAGCCTCCATGCCTTGGCTGGCATGTGACTGCTGCTCGAGGCTCGCAGGCGGGCGTCAATGTGTGGTAATACAGCTGTATAAGAATGGCATGGTACCTATCTGATGAAGATCCTCTCATGTCCGGAAGTAAATGATCTCTCGACTACCAGCGAAGATGAAGCCTTCAGCTAAGAGCCAGGTTCGCCAATCGGCGGAAGACCTTTTCAAGTTCTTGTTCATTCAATTTTGGAAGGTTGTCAACGTCTTCATCGCGTGGCACAAACTGCCGGCCATCATTGGCGCCTTCAACCTCCTAGCATTGCGATTCGAGCTCCGCCAGAAGAACCTTTACGACACGTACCCCTCTCCTGAGGACCAAGGTACAACGGCACAATGTCCCATGTCCGACACCAAGTTCATGGCTGTCAGAAACTCAGATGGTCTGTATAATGATCTCCAGGCGCCCAAGATGGGCTGCGCCGGGATGCGTTTCGGCCGCAACATCCCAAGAGAGCATGCCAAGATGCCCACTCACGAGGAGCTGTTTACGCCGAACCCGAGGCTTATCTCTGAGAAGATCCTTGCGAGACCGGAAGGTGGCTTTAAGCCCGCCACGATCGTCAACCTCCTCGCCGCGGCTTGGATTCAGTTCCAGGTCCACGACTGGGCGCAGCATGCCTCGAGCGACGAGACTTGGGACGTTCCGATGCCCAAGGGAGACACCTGGCCCGATAAGAAGATGAAGATCTTTAAGACCAAGGTTGACAGTACTCTCTCGAAGCTGGATGACGAATCGCCGGGCTACAAGAACGAAAACACGCACTGGTGGGATGGCTCACAGATCTATGGTTCGACTGAGGCTGAGACCGTGGAACTGCGATCCAATTGCCATGATGGACAGCTTGCTGTCGACCGTGTAAATGGTGAACAATTCCTTCCTCGCGAGAACGGCATCCCCAAAACTGGCTTCCATCATAATTGGTGGGTTGGTCTTGAGATGCTACACACCCTCTTTGCTTTGGAGCATAATGCTATCGCCGGACATCTCAAGCTGTCGAACCCATCGTGGACGAGTGATGAAATTTTTGACACGGCGAGGTTGATCAACTGTGCACTCATGGCCAAGATTCACACCATCGAGTGGACGCCTGCTATCTTGAAGCATCCGACATTGAAGATTGGTATGGAGGCGAACTGGTGGGGGTTGGTTGGAGACAAGGTAAGCCTCTTGTATAAGTCTCTGCGTTGCAGTCGCTGATGGGTTCGAACAGTTGTGGCACGTCTTCGGCCGTATTTTCGACAACAAGTCCGAGGTCATCTCAGGAATCCCGGGCTCGGGAACCGATCAAGACGGCGCCCCATACTCCCTGACCGAAGAATTTGTTTCCGTGTATCGTCTGCACCCGCTCGTCCCTGATGACATTGCCTTCTTCAAAGTCAAGAGCGGCCAACACGCCGACACTCTTCCGATGAAGGAAGTTGCCTTCGAAAGGGCCCGCACACCACTAGACGATAAGACCTCGAACAGCAACGGCCTCGGCTTGAACTTTGCCGACGTGTTTTACTCCTTTGGCGTCAACTACCCCGGCGCCATTCGCGCGAAGAACATGCCAAACTTCCTCCGTGATCTGCACCTACCCGCAGACAGAGAGTTCCCTCAGGGTAGACACCTCGACATGGGCACCGTCGACATCCTCCGTGATCGTGAGCGCGGTGTGCCAAGGTACAACGCCTTCCGCCGTCTCTTCCACATGCCTGCCGTCCGCAGCTTCAAGGAGCTGACCGGTCCCGGTCCCGAGGCCGCAAAGTTGGCGGCGGATCTGGAGGAGGTGTACAACGGCGACATCGAGGCCGTTGATCTCCTGGCTGGCACGCTCAGCGAACCTCTGCCTGAGGGCTTCGGTTTCAGCGACACGGCCTTCCGCGTCTTCATCCTCATGGCGAGCCGCCGCATCAAGTCTGACCGGTTCCTCGCCGGCGATGGGTGGTGCCCTGAGGTGTATACGCGGGAGGGTATGGACTGGGTGCAGAAGAACACGATGAAGGACGTGCTGTGCAGACATTTCCCTGAGCTCGCTGCGCCGTTGCGCAACGTGGATAACGTAAGTCCTGTTGGCCCTGTCTTTTCTTTGTTTACACAGCTGCTAATCAAGTTTGCAGGCGTTTGCACCGTGGGAGAAGGTCGGTCGGACTGCCGAGTATACGGGGAAGGAGACTAATGCTTGAGCTTTATTCACCTGCTTATCCCAAGACTGTAACTTCTGTTTGTTTGGCGGTTTGGGTATATTTTTTTGGCTGTAACAACTACTTGGGGTCTATGTTGATCAAAGTAAAAAGTGGAAGGAACGGAAATGTCAGTTTGTGCCCGGGGATTCTAGGGTCGAAAACGAAACCATATCGGCTTGGCGATTTTGATGGAGACAAAGTTTACACGGCTTGACTAAGATATTTGAACTGTCCCTTTTCAACGTAGCAAATACGAACGTCAGAAATAAGGTCTGATCAGATTGGAGAATAGAGGTGAAGCACGCATCAACACGCAAAGAGATACCAAGTGTGGCGTGAGCTGTCAAGTCGAATAATATATCAAGACTGAAAGTCCGGCGAAAGAGGTCAATCCATGAACAGCTGAAAGGTGTTTGCTGGCCGATTCGTTTAAAGCTCCCGCTTGTCACAGCCTCAACCTATGATTCAGGTTCAGCCCTACCGGACGGTGAAAAAATGGTGAGCCGGGCCCATTGAGGCTTTTGTAGCATACCAGTCATCTGTTCGACTCGACCCCAGAATCATCCTGTCTCTTAGCTAGGCCTCGTACACTTTCATAGCCAGCTGCATCCTATACTACGTCCTTACGACAAAACCTTAACAAAAAGGAACAGCAGTGCCGCATGGCAAACAAGGGGGGGGGGGGGGTCGCGATCCTGCTGCCTACGCAACTCTGCTCAGGGGTACGCAATGCCGCCGCGTCTTTAAAGTGCTTGGGAGATTAACCACATGTGCTTACCAGAGGTCCAATTTTGCTGGCGGTTCGGAATCCGGGAACACCAAAACCTACGTTGGGGACAATGCCGGATGGCCATGAAAGGTAACGGTTTTCTGCCATTTCGAGTCGAGCTGGGATAATGGCTGTTTCAAGTGTCACTGTTTCACCAAGATAGCTCATAGACACACCCACAAACCTCTTAATTGCAACCGCCCGGGCATCACGTTCCGGAGAGAGGATTCTAAACGAGAGAAACTCTCGATCAATGAAGGACGGAAAACTGGGCATCACGGGCCAATTGCCTATCCGTATCGGACACCGATCAGCATTGGCCCATGAAGCCAGTTTTTTATCTGACCAACTTGGCGCTCTGGTTCGCTGCCTCGCCGTGTCACTTCCATGTAACCCTTTTGGTGATTCTTGTAGCAATCGAGTGCGGGTATCCGCTTTCTTCGCGCGCGACGACACGACCTGACCCTCACCCCTTGAGCCAACTTCGCCAAGACGAAACTTGGGGCCCCCCTCTTTTAATCTGGCGGATGCGCAGCTGTCCTGCAGCGCGAGCCTGTGGTGGTTGTCACTGGTGCTTGTGTATTGTGTACGAAGAGTGGTAAGCCGTCCGCGTATTCTGCGTCGACGAGGTTTAAAATTGTATGGATGGGAAGATCCTTGGCGGGGATGCTGCACAGCCCTCCTACTCTCTAGTTTTCCTGGGCACCCAAGGAGATGAGACCGGTGCAATGAGATCGATGTGCTTGTTTGAGATATAATTGAGGAGGAGACACACACGTCCTGTCCCTCTTTCGTTTCGAATCGGAGTAATCTTTCTTCACTGCAATTTTCGTGTCCTATTTTTTTTTGTTCTTCTCTCTGCCGATTTGAATCCCAGTCACTCCTTTCATCCTAGGGAATCGAGCCTTCTCAACGTCAGGCAAGCAAGCTGCCAATAAGTCACACCGTTCAAATCACCCAAATAAAATCACTCAAGATGACGACCGATCAACCACAAAGACAGACCATGGATCCCAACATGGTGCAACCCAAGGAGGAGGACACCCAGAAAGAGGGCTGGTCTTGCGTAAGTCATTTTGAATATTTCATCGTATCTGAGCGTTATCGATTACATCCCGCTGACGAGCGCCCTGAATACCTCACAGGCCCAGTGCTGTTCGAGCTGCATGGACTGCCTCATGATGTGCATGCGCTTCTAAGAAAGTGCCACGTCTTCCAAATCTTTCTCAATTCTTTCTTTTCTTCTTCCATGACCAGATGGTCAACTTTTCAGAATTCCACACTCAGAATGGCGCATTCACTTTGATGCCTTTTTGATCAAGCGCTTGCCCATCGTAGGCCATGATGCGCTTTTAGGGGGCAGGTGGACGATGGGAATTTGGGTCAGGCGTTACAGGAGTTTTGGTCCCCAGAAACCAGAGGTGTCATTTCAGCGAGACGTTCCTTTCTACCTCGCTCCTTTTTCTTCGCTCTTCAATTCTTCGATATCCTCATATATACACCATGCTGTTTACTCTTTGCAATAAAAAAAAAATCTCTAACACGGTTGCTACATGTCCAAGCATCTCCTCCTTGTGTGATAATCCGTTGATTCATCGACATCGTCAACCCACTGTCCCATCGCGGTGCTCAGGGGACAATTGAGATTCGCGGCCACGCGAGGATCGTCAGGGAGCCCGTGCACAAGCTCCCGCAATTCGCTACGTACCTCCACTCAGAAATCTCCATTCCAACGTCCCCTCCACTTTTTTTGCACCTTGCCCGTCCCGCCGCGCATCTTGAGGAGCAGTCAGGTTTACGGTCTGTCATTGTCCCTTCTCACGATCCTTCAGCCTCGCCAAAAGCTGACCACCAGCTCCCTCGCCCTCAACCTCCACGGAAAACACCCCCATCGTAAGCTCACAGCGGAAAATCCTCAAGGCATTGAAAAACCAGCAGGGCTAACTCTACCAGCTTCCTTCTCCCCAAACCCCACCGCCCCCAGTCCTCGAAAATGGCCGACGTGGAAATGGAAATCGACAACCCCCCCTCCCCCTCCGCCGCCGAGGGAGGAGCCGGCGGCAGCGGCGCCGCCCCGGCGCGTAACGAGTCCGAGATGCAGACCCACGGCCGCGCGACCGCCGTCCGCTCCATCGAGGGCTGGATCATCATGGTCACAAACGTCCACGAGGAGGCCGACGAGGAGTCCATCCAGGACATGTTTGGCGAGTACGGCGAGATCAAGAACCTGCACCTCAACCTCGACCGGAGAAGCGGTTACGTCAAGGTGTGTTTTTCCACCTCTACTTTTTTCCGCTTACCATTGAAACTTTTTACCCTTCTTCTCTTTCTCCCCTTGTGTAGACTACGATCTCCTACGAGCCATAGAGATGGAAAACGTTTGGGAAATTACACAGAGGGCTGACTGACATTGAAAAACAGGGCTACGCCCTCATCGAATACGCAACCCTCGCCGAAGCCCGCGCCGCCATCGACGGCGCCCACGAGGCGAAACTCCTCGAACAGACCGTCTACGTCGACTTCGCCTTTGTCCGGCCCCCGCCCGGCGGCAAGGGCGGCAACAACAACCAGAACAACATCCGCGGCGGCGCGAGAGCCCAGAACCGCGGTCGCGGACGCAGTCGCAGCCGTAGCGTCGAGAGGGAGGTCGTTGCTGCCAAGGACGGCGATGACATTGAATGAGATTTTTTTCCCCTTCGAAACGCTAGAAGAAGCAACAAAAAGAAGGACGGCAAAGGGCCAGCGCAAAGTATGAGGGGGTGACGAGGTCTCGAGGTCTCGAGGTCCCGGTGCTGGCAGACAAGTGCGGGGGGCAGAGTCTGGGACGATATTTTACGCCACATATCGGAATCTCCTAAGCGAAAAAAGAGGATGGGATGAGGACTAAAAAAGAAGGAAAAAAGAAGGCCTCGATAGGGTGTTGGCCTTTGCCGATGTGTCGCGACCAAGCTCAAGACAAGCCAGCTGGTTCGTAGAAAAAGCACATCGGCATGCGTGATTCAGTCTGAAAAGGTTGGTTGCTTCTTCTTCCCCCTTTTCTATTGCCCCCCTTGTCGTCGTCCAATACTGACTGATTTGTGAAGGCTGCAACTAGAAATCAAAAGTTTGACATGACCGCATTCTCCTGCAATTTTGAGATACCAGCGAGGAGGGCCTGCGCACTCCATCGGGCCATCATACACCAAAACGCCAACCATGCTGAGAGATGAAAACGATGTATCACTTCACGTCCAGTAATATAGGAGTCATAATCGTCATTACTAACGTAAAAGGCCACCCGGCCTAGAGGTATCGAAGAAAGAGCTGATCCCCCCGAGCACACGAGAGGGAGGCTAGCAATCCAAAAAAAAAAAAAACTTTTTTGATCCTCGTTTGCAATCCTACTCCGTCGCAATGCCCATATGTCATGCTTCGAACAAATAATGTGCCTAAAGAAAAAGGGAAAAAAAGACACCTCACCCTCATTCATTCTCATTAACTCTCATTCCATCGTTGCGCGTTTCACTCCCTTCACCGACCCTGCCTCACACTCTGCATCTCATGCCTGGCCGGCGAGTCGAATCTTCCCGACGACCCGTGAGTACGGGCCGAGTCATAACCTCCAGGCGACTCGTACCTCGCGTTCTTGGGCGGCGCATCGTAGATAGGCTCCCGTCCGGCGGAAGGTGCTACTGAAGACTGCCTGGCGGACCCTTGCTTGAGTGAGCCCTGCTTGATAGATCCTTGTTTGACAGATCCCTCGAATTGCTCCTCTGACGCCGGCCCTTGAGGCTGCACGGCGCCAGCATCCTTCTTCCTCATGCTGAACATTCGCTTGAAACCAGACGGGGCAGGTGGTTGAACTGTAGCTGCCTCCTTGGCGTCGTCCCAGATGAGACGCGGCACGAGCAGTCGGTAAGGCACCGTAATACCAGTAGGATCTTTCTGGTTCACCTCCACATTGAGGCAAATATCCAAGCCGCCCTCAAGGTCGACTTCATATGCGTCCGCCTTCTTCTTCTGCTTGACTGACAGCCCGGTCGGGGTGCGATGGAACGCCTTTGGCCGCGGTAGAATCTCTTGCGACCGAGGAACCTGGCGCTCGTCGCCCATAGTGTAAGCGCGAGGTGGCGGATGAGCAGTGAACTGAGACTCATCGCCAGGCGAGAACTCGTCTTCCGAGTCAGGTCCGCCCCTAATAGGTGCGCCCCTCATCCGTGCTGCGGGACGAGCCGTGAAGTACGAGTCGTCACCGGACTGGTACTCGTCATGTCCTCCTCCTCCTCCTCGAAGACCCATGCCCCTAGACCTAGGCGCACGTCGGCGGTCGTACTCATCATCATATCCATAGTATCCATCGTCGACACTACCGTCAACGCTATCTTCGTCTCCCCATTGGCCATTGATGCCACCATCATCGGCTTGAGACTTTTTGCTGTTTCGGCGACCCAGACTGAAGACGCGCGTCAACGACAGTGATCGCTTGGGCTTGTCAACATTGGTTGGCCGACCTCCATCAGTCGAGTTGCGGCGTGAGAGGCTTCGGAACAGGCCACCAGCCTTGCCCTTGTTGTTTGAAATTGGAGGACGCGACCGAGACTCATCGCGCTGAACATCGGGTCGGTACGCGGGGCCACGATTTGAAGAGAATCGTCTCAAGAGGCCTCCACGGCTCGCCGGTGGGCTTGGGCTTCTATCGTAAGCCGACAAAGGCGGCGTAGGAGGCGGTGTTGTGCCCGGAGTCCATTCTCGGATAGAGCACCAGTTGCGATGCGGCAGCAGGTGCTTGTTGTTCCTCGCTTTACCATCGACACCATGGTGGAAGAGCGGGATCATGTCTTCATCAGTCGACTCGTCAAAGTGATGAATCTTGTTACGCTTGTTCAGGATATCCGCCATCAGATCGGGAGGCGGCGTGTTGACGATGGCTGATGAGACGACATTGGGCATGTATCGGAAGTCCTTGTGCTTGGGCAGGCCGAGCTTGGGGTTGGCATAGAACTGGCCCACAGCAGCGAGATGAACATCACCACTCAAGAAAGTGACTCTGACAGACTTGTCAGCCGCCAGGTCTTGCATGTCTTGAATTACGACTGTGCGCTCCTTCTTGTGGTTCTTGGCCGTCCAGTGGTCATTGAGATCGTCGAGAACTTCGACGCCTCCATCAATGTGGTTGAGAGTGTTGCCGAGCATACCCAACTTGCCAAGTGCCTTCACGGGATCCATGGCTCTCGAAGTGAGACTACAATTGTCAGCTTGTCTTTATGTTATTACAGAGTCAAGAGAGACTTACATGTTTTCCAGCCAGACCAATCTGGGGTAGGCAATTGGAACACCAAGCAAAACGAGCAAGTGCTTGGTTCTGCCTGTCCGCAGCTCTTCGTAGCAGCGGTCCATGATCTTCTGCCACGAGGGCTCGCTGACCACATCGAGCTCGGTCCTTTCTGTTCTGCCATCAACAGCGAGTAGAGAAATGTTGGATCCTAGCTCGACAAACAAGCTTCGGCTCAACTCGCTGATGTACGGGCCAGGTTTGCTGCCAAGCACCCAGCTAGGCTCAGTGGCGTCCGTCTCACTCGGAATGCTCTGGTGCTGGAAAAGCATATAGTACTTGTAGGCAACGTTGCCGAGACCAGAGAACACTGGGGAGTTCATGTCGTGGTGCGCGTAGGAGCCGAAGCCATCGGAGATATCGTGATCGTCCCACATGTTGACCATGGGAATCTGCGAGTTGGCCAGGCCAAAGAGACCTTGCGAGAACCACATGCAGTACCGGTCCAGGTAAGCCCGTTCAAGCTCGTCCTGCATTGTCAGGGTGAAGGGCGAGTTGTGCTTGTGCAGAGGATTCTTGATCGCCAGCCATTCGCGGAACTGCTTGCTCTGGTCCATCAGGCAATCATTGTAGATTTGATCGCCGCCGCCAATCATGACGTGGAATGGCTGCGACTGGTGCGTGTTGAGGACGTCACGCCACATGGGGTCCGGTCCGCTGAAGTCGTCGGGGTTGACACTAGCACTGAAGCCGTTGCAGCTGTGGAACATGATGTTCATAGACTGTCCCACCGCAGGAACCCAGAAGCCCATCGCAGGTCCTCTATTGATTCTGTAAGCAATCCGCTGCTGCTTCTCGCGAAGCTCGATCTCGATGTTGAAGCGCCAGAACGTGCATCCGCGCTCTGCGTGGAGTCGGAAACCGCGAACATCCTTGTACTTGGAAACCTTCTCTCCGTCAATCTCCACGCGCTTTCTACGGCTGGCGAAAGACCCAGGCAAATCCGGAGAGCCATTGGGCGGTGTGTAGTCCGGTGGACTTCTCGTCTTCTCAAAGAGACCATTGTCGGTCTCGTCTCTGGATAAGTCCTTGGCCTCATCGAGATGCTCCACAGGGCGGACGTAAAGGGTCTCTCCCCGTCGACCCAGCTTCGGGATGCCCGCAATCGGATCCACGTATTCTGGTGGCAAGCCCTGCTCCCCAGAGATCTCCTGAGGCGGGGGTGGTAGGAGCTCGATAGGCTGCACGAAAAGTCTCAATGTTGGCGCGATTTCGTACGAGGAATCGCTGTCTTGCGTGACGATCATGACTGAGCCTCTCCATATTGTCTTCTCATTGACAGCGATGTTCCTGTTACGGGCGGGAACCTTCTCGTGCTTGAGTCCGCAGTATCTCAACAACGGACCACACTTGAGGAACAGCGGCGGCTTAAATCGTGTAGGTGCTGGAATGTCTGTTAGTTTCGTCGCATAATTCAGCCCGGCCTATAAGAAACTTACCATGTGTGTCGTCGTACTCGCCGTCAAATGCTTCAGCCTTGCGCGGCCGCGAAGTGCTTTCTCTGCGCTTACCGCCTTCTCTACCACCCTCCCACCAAGGAGTGTCCTTATCAATGGAGGCGAGCCGCTCCTCGCTGAGGTCCAGCATGTTGCCGCAGAGGCTACCGACGGTCGCCTTCTTCCACTCATCGAGGTATACAGGCGGTTTGTAGATGCCCTCGCCAGGACGGAAAGTCTTCTTTGCGGGATACAGATCCCGAGAGTCGTCACTAAATCCATCATCCTCAGAGTAGTACTCCCTGTCAGTGGGCCTACCACGCGCAGCAGCATGTCCGTGGGTTGCATGGGCATATCCATCGCCACGCCCACCAGAAGCTACAGGCGCACGTCGAGGGTCTTCGTAACGAGGATCTTCACCATCAGAGTCGGAATCGTAGTGTTGTGCTGCCGGAGCAGTCGAGCGTCGTTGAACTCCTCCAAAGTCAATGCCAATTAGCTTCGCAGCCTTACTGGGCATCCTGGCCTGTCTGGCTTCTTCAATTGTTGCGTCCGGGGGCAATGCCTGTTCGCGCGTTGCGTGCGACACGGATCTCTGCACCGGGGGACCGCCCTTTTCTGCCGCAGATTGGTCCATGGCGGCATTGCGGAACTCAATGTTCTCGTACTTCTTCTCTGCATCCTTCCGGATGCTGAACCAAGGATCGCCTTTGGGCTGCTTCTTGAGCTTGTTGCTCCCGCTCCTAGTCAGAGAGAAACTGGGTCTCCTAGAACCAGCTACTGGTGGCGTAGGCTCTGGGCTGTCGTTGGGATTTTGAGGATCGGCAGCTTGAGGCAACTTCATGTTGTCCTTCGCGGCCCGCTCGCGGAAGCTGAGATTGCGCTTCGGAATGCCGGAGTTTGCAACGGCAGGTTCGCTAGGCGGCTCGCGAAGGCTCACACTTCGCTGCGGAACACCAGAAGAGGGCGGAGGGTGTCTCACTTCCATGGCCTCCATCGCGGGGCCTCTCGACGGGTAAGGGCCAGATGCATGCCGCCTATGGCTTTCGGGCATGTGCTGCTGGTGTTGTCGCCGATCGTCGAGCGATTGGCGCGGCGCATATCTTGCTTCGTCTTCGGGGTAGTATTGCGCTGGGGGTCCACGTGAAGCAGCGACGTTGGCGTGCTGCTGCGCGTGCGGATTATCGTCATATCTTTCGTCGCGGAAGCGCACCTGCTGCACAGGCACTTGATGTACCTGTACTTGCTGGACGGGGGGCTCAGGCAGTGGTCGCTGAGGCTCTTGCTTGGGCTGTTGTCGCGGCGCGCGTTGCGTAGCTTCAGGTGGTTGAAGTAGATCAGGGTTCTGGGCAGCCTTTGCCGCAGCCTTCTCCCTGGCGCGGCGCTCTGCGGCCTGGACACGAGCTCGCTTCTCCTCCTTTGTAATGGTGTCGAGCTTCGACTCTAGCCTCTGTAGTGGAGAGCGGTCGTTGGCGAACTTTCTGCCAGAGTCTCCCATAGATGCCTTCCTCCTCTGTGCATCTCTACCTGATCCTCCGGCCGATCTCCTCCTCGACGAGCTCTGAGGATCGCGGGGCTCGCGGGGTGGCCGCGTCTCGGTTGCGACATCGAGTGTGCGCTGGGAGCGGTCTAGGGGAGGGAGATCCTGCTGTTGCCTTTCGGGGGCAGGATCCTTGTAGAACTCTTCAGGGTTCATCTCGTCTTCCGGGCCGACCAGCGGACTAGGCTGTCGCGGTGTTCGAGCTGGACTCGGAGCAGGGTGGGTGTATGGCAGACCACCATTGCCGTATGGATGTCTGAAGCTCACGGGCGGTGCCTTGGGCACATCGGGGGCAGCTGGAGGGGTGGGAGCGGAAAGAGAATCTTGATCAAGGTCCTCGTCCCTATCATCGCCGTTGCGCTCTCGGCGTCGTCGCTGGCGCCTCTCGGCCGGCTCCTCAGGATACTGAGACTCGCCGTAGGGAAAAGTCGGCGGGCGCGGGGCAAGCCCTTGGTCCGCGAAGCTGGATGCAGTGGGCGATGCGAAGGGGCTGAGCGTGGACTCGGTGTAGGCCTCGGTGTTTGTTGTCTGTAGGGAAGTGCGATTCGACTTTGGGGGATGAGGAGGAAGCGGTTTGTCTACTGCCGCTGCTGTTGTTGCTGCTGCGGTTGAGGGAACTGGCTCAGGTGACATGCGCTCCGGGAGACTAAAGTCTTCAGACTGGCGACGCTGGCGTCTGGCAGCTTTGGGGCCAGACAAGTCCCCCCAATACGGCGCAGGAGGCATGGCGACGAGGCTGGCTACCTTGGCCCTTGGGAAAGTCTACCGTCGTCGCTGGGATTTGCGAAGCGCTAATCGAGCTGCAAGACGGGAACAGACGTGGGCGCAAGCACCGGTGAGTCGTGCGTACCGCCGTCCGTGGCAAGCAAACTTGCAGAAATACCTACAAACTACTCGATAAACTAAAGCAGAGTCTAAGTAGTGGTAGAGTGAATATGGCCGGGCGTCAGAGACATATGCGGCTTGCCATAGCAGCCAATGCGATGCAGACACGCGGGCGCAAATGAGGTCGGCCGTATGCAAGAGCAAGGAAGTCGAGGGCGGTAGGTAGGTCACCGAGATGAGATGCCGAGAGGTGAGATATGGGATGATAGGCCGCAGGGAAAGGGAATTGGTGGCAGCGAAAGAAGATACGGACGAGAGTGGAAGAGAAAGATATGAGACGAGACGTTAAGAAAAGAGCCTTCCGAGAATTCCCACTGAAAAGAGAGAGCTTGAGCTTTTCCCTGGCGACTCAAGCACACACCGGCAGGCCGCAGAAGCTAGAGAAAACCAAGAGCTGGGAAAATGGCGAGGTTGACTGGTTTGTGCTACGGCGTCATTCGCCCACCAAGTTGGGTTTAGCAAGATGGATGCTCGACCGGGGTTGGGGGCGGCTTAGGCGGAGAGAAAGCGCAAGAAACCCTGTCTCGTCGACCAGGGGTCTTGAGTCTGTTCCAGTTCCAGCTGTTCCAGTCTTGTCTTTTGGTGCTCTGTCACTCTGTTCCTACCCGCTAAGGTAGAGATACCTTAGACCCAGGCGTGTCATCGATTGGGCTGACAAGGCAAGAAAGACGCATCGAATGCCGCTGCCGCTGGGCACGAACAGCCGCGACAGGGGAAGGGCTTAGTTGTCAACAAGGTAGGTACGGAGTACGGGCTACGGAGTAATACAACTGGGTCAACGGGTCTTGCTGTCAGGTCGGGAGTCGAAGAAGGAGGAGAAGGAGGAGCTCCTGGGTGGGAAAGTAGAAGATGGAAGAAGAAAAGAGGCGGTCGGAATGGAGCCACTGAACGGCCTCGCTTGCCATTGACCAGTGACCACGACTCCGATGGCTGCAGCTTACATGCAGCCAGGCCCAGAGAGCCCCCTCGTCTCCATCGTGCCATCTACGAAGTATGTACGCCGACGGGGGGCCGCGGCAGCACGGGGTGAGGTGGGAAGGAGGCTCCAGCTTGCTTGCTACCACATGCCGCTTTCCTTCTTGTTCCCGCCAACCGCCAATGAGGCGGGACGGGAGGAAGGGAGCTACGGTGAGTCTTCGCTGCCATACGCATTGATGTATCCGTACAAGTCCAAAGGCACTGTGGAAAGATAGAGCAAGCGATGTGAGATGTGAGATCAGGGAAAGGCGCGGGTGCAGGGTTTTGCAGGGCAGGGTATCTTTAGAACGACGTGAATACAATTTCATCCGTAGAGGGGGGAAAAAAAAAGAAGGTGGCTGAAAGTCTCGTAATTGTTCACTCCTCGAATCGTCGAATCGAGTAAAAAAGCGAGGTCAAGGCAAGGCAAGCCAAGGCAAGGTAGCCCCAGGCAAAAGTAAAAGAACAAGGTACGGAAGGGACAGATACGGCACCCGGTAATCAAGTTCCCTGTAACTCAAACAAAAGTCAATTCGTCGATCCGAACACAATCGAAACTGGCGGTCGAATATTGAGGTGGTTGGCGCAAACACCTATGCTACCTACCTGAACCTCACCGTTAGACTGACGGTGACCTCGACAGCTTCGATTACCCGCCAAAGCCCGTAGAAAGAAAAAAAAAAAAAAAGAGGAAGAAAAGCAACTGATTCGGCACCTTTGATTGACTGGTGCGTTGTTTCAAGCCTAGACCATTTGCTGTCTGAGTCTCTGACATAGGCTGCTCAACATGAGGGGCCGAGGTTTATATGTTTGAGGAAAAGAGCCTAAACCGACACAAAGTCTAAGGAGTGAAGACAACAATAAGTAGCAATTGAAGGTCGAAATAATGCAGACCAAGACCAAACAGTAGACCCTTGAGAGCTTATTTTCAAGCCGTCCAGGAGCCATGCAGTAGCTAGATTATTCGATGCGGGAGTGCCCGCCCCTCTCCAAAGCAATACTTCAGACCAGGACTCCCTCTCTTTGACAGAGCTTGGACTGCAGTCTTCTCCAACGACTCCAACGAGCATCCTCAGTTAAACAAAGACCACATGGGAAATCGCAACGGGGCTATCCAGTGTTTCCAATTGATTGATTGGTTGCGCCTCTCAACACCAACAGCGCCGTCTAACGTCCATGGGGAAAAATACACTAACCACAATGCCCAAATGCTATAAAAGTGATAAGAAAGAGAAAACCTCAAGGTATTTCTATGCAATAGACGCCCATACCTGCCCCGTCGCACACCTTATTTTTCAGTGAGCCTATCAGTCTCTCTGTTGCCGCTACCCTCTCTCGAGCGGTCCCGGTTGTCGTGGTATGCCCCAGTCTCATCATCGTCATCTTCGTCATCACCGGCAAATGCATCGTAGAGCTCACGACCCCGCGTACGCTTCTCGCCATTGAGACCCTCCGTCTCGTCCTCGTTGAGCAGCTCGAACTCGTAGTTGTCACGAGGCGCGCTGTTGCGGCGCTTGCGGATGTAGAACCAGATACCCAAAGCAGAGCAGAACACAGCAATGAGACCAATAGCGCCGTAGACCCAGACACCAGCCTTTCCGAACGACGGGAGCCAAGACACCCAGTTGGACGGGCTGGTCGTTGCCGCAGGCGTCTCCTGCGTGTCTGTCGGCTTGCCAGTCTCCGTAGGTGTCGCGTCGGCTCCAGACTGGATCTTGGTAGGCCGCTCGGGATGGTCGGAGGGCTTGACAACAGTTGCGGTGTTCTCGGCAGCGTGCGTCATGGTCGTGATAGCAGCCGGCAGAGTGGTGGTTGCAACAAGTGCGTGATCGTTGTCGTCCTCCTCAGTCGGCATGGGGAGGAGAGTTGCCTTGCTAGCGTCAATCGACTCGCCCCAAAGCTTCAAATGCCAGTCGACAAAAGTGCCCTTGTGTTCGTTCTCGTTGGAATCCTTGACCACAACGGTCCACTTGCCAACACCGGATTCACCCCTAATTTGTTGTCAGCATTTCGATTCCAGTGTCTCGCCAATTTTTCCGAACAACTTACCAGTGGGCAACACTCATGAAAGTCCAGTCAACGTAGCCAGACTTGGCCGAGTCCATCTTGCGGGTGACAGAGAGGTGGCTGGTGACTCCTTCGGGGCTAATCAAGTCGGCACTCAAGTCACCTCTGCGCGTGTGGTTCACGTTCATAGTGACGGTCACATGCTCAAGTCTCTCGAGGTTGGCTTGCTTCAGAGCATCCGCAGTGACATCAAAGCTGACCGCGATGCCGTCCTTGCCTTGAGGAATGTCCTTGTTAACATGGATCCAAGGAGAGTAGTACCAAGCCTGGGGCTTGACGTTCTTCCAAGCCTTGGCTGCCTCGACCATCTTGAACGCATCAATCTTGCCGTATCCGTACGTGTGGCTGAACTTCTTTCCAATCTTGGTCGGCATCCACTCGCCGTTGGCCTCGTCAATGGGCACAGCGGTATCCATGGCGAGCCATTGCATATCTCTCCAAGTAAGATCAGGGCGAGCCTCGAGAACGAGTGCGTAGACACCAGCACCCAAAGGAGCGGCGGCGGAAGTACCACCGTGACCATTATAGCAGGCATTTTGGCCAACATCAGTGGTGTGCTGCGCAAACAAGTCAGTTCTGGTCCTGTCAAGCTAGAAGAGTTTGGAAAACATACGATAGCATCTCCGCTGCCACTACTGTAGGTGACAACAAGTTGAGCCGAGCACTTCTCTGAGTAGTAAGGATGCTGACCCTTTCTGTCAATCGCGCCAACAGTGATGCTGTAAATGGAGTTTGTGTAGCCGTCAAAGTTGCAGTTGTCATCGTTCGCGGCACCGTTACCACTGGCAAAGACGTAGATGGATCCCTTTCCGCCACGGCCCTGCTGGATGCCCTTGAGCATAGCACGCTTGATAAGAATACCAGGCGCATCCATGGATCGACCGTCATCCGGAGGGCCCCAGGAGCAGGAGTAAATGTCGTTGTGCTGGTAGTCGTAGGTCATCGCGACAGCCTCGTCGGCATCCGAAATCAACTTGCTCAGAATACGGATACCCGCGATCTTGGAATCATAGGCCACTCCGACACCGCAGACGTTGTTCTTGGCCGCAGACACTTCACCAGCGCACCGGGTGCCGTGCTTATCGTCGCTGAGCGTGGGCTTGGGCTCTTCGCGGTGGTCGTTGAAGTCGTAGGAACCGGCGGCGTAGTAGTTAGGCTTCAGGTCGTCGCTGTACATGTCGAGACCGTCGTCTACGATGGCGACAGTTGCATTCTTGCCCGTGATACCAGACTTCCACACGCCGGCGACGTTGATGTCGTGGCCTGGCTGGACGGTATTGAGCAAATGCCACTGCTCATTGAAGATGGGGTCGGCGATGCCGAGGGTCTTCATGACTTCGTTCATCTGCTCAACCATCTTAGGGTCGGCCGCGTCCTGGCGAGCGTAATTGGCCGGCCCATGCGACCGCGGGGGGACTCTCTTCTCCCAAGGCTTCCGAAGCTGCTGTTTCTGCGAAAGACGAACTCCATCGAGAACGTCGGAGCCGCCAAGCGTGCGTTTCCGCAGCTTGCGCTCCTGCAAGGCTGGCTTGACGATGTCGTGCTCGACCTTCCTAGCGGAGAAGATGTGATGGCCGTCGAGACTGCCCAGTGTACCCTCATGCCTCAGACCCAAGCGGTCGGCAACCTGGCCGGGAGATGTAGACGAATCCAGCTCGAGAACATAGTAATCATTCGTTTCGTAGTTTCGAGGGGAGGAAGTACCGCTTGCGAGGGCAGCAAGACCGAGGAGAACCGCGGAAAGCTTCATGATGCGCTGCCGAAGACCCCTCGAGGGGATGTTGATAATGCGCAAAGAAAGGAGGGACTGAATAGGAAGGGGAGTCGACAATTAGCTTCCGTGCCCGTCTCGAAATCGAGTCAAACCATGAAAGGGAAAGGAAGGGGAAGAAAGAAAGATGTAAATCTAGAAGAGGTTGCTGGACACAACACGTACCTCTCTCGTCAATCAGGGGAACGAAGGGAACAAACGGGACTTGGCTCGTCTAGGCTGGCTGGGAAGAGCGGAAGACGAGACGTGGTCGAGTCGCAAGTGGCAAGGGCGGCCCTTGAAGATGGCCAAAGCTTCTCGATTTCCCTTGCAGCGCGACTCTGCTTTCCGCTTTTTTCTTACGAATGCCTCGAATACACGGGACACCTCTTATGTACTTTATTGGTATGCCGGTCTGGTACCAGAGCAAATCACCTGGCAAAACCCGTTTGTATTGCTTGGCGACGCAAACTCGATGGAGATGATTGTTGGTCGTTGGTTAAGTATTACTTGAAATGCAGCAAAGGCTAGAGTTCATGCGTAATAAACAGCGGGGAGGCTCCGTCTCACCCTCCGTCGTCGTGGACTTTAATATCGATATGGCCGACGCCAATGGCCCAAACGAGAACGAGAAGTTACCAATAGGTATACGTAGGTAGAGCTGCTGAGCACTCAACAACGACGATACTGGGGACACAGGTGACAAAGTGAGGATAGAAATGCGACGAGTGAATGAGCAATGAGAAACTCAAGACTCAGAGGCAAATGGGGAAGAAATGGAAAATGCTGACGAAAGCAGTGAGAGCGACCTGGAACACAAGGCAGACGTATCCGTACTCTCTGGCCAGATGCACTCAATGCTCCCTTTCACTGCTGTTTCGTGGCCTTCTCGAAAACGGCAGGAACATAAGGATGCGGACAGGGCGTCCAATGCTACCTGCTACAGTCAGACAAACGCCCCCGAAAGACCCCTTCCCTCCAGCCACGGCCGCATTAGATCCTCGTGCTCTCCAGCAGGTTGCAGCCCCAGGTACACGTAAACCTGGGGACGCTAGTCAAATGTAGCCGTACCCGTCGACTTAGGGGTCCTGCGGCCTGCGCGTTTCTGGTGATAACGACCCGATACCTACCTAGGTACTTGCACAGGTACTCAAGGTAGGTAAGTTTGCAGTACGGTACCTTATACCGAAAGGGAAGGCGGCGATTCAGGTGGGCTGGCAGCGGGCAGTCACTTACTTCCATTGTCTCCAGTTAGGCCCCCAATAAAATGCTGTAGCTCACTGCCGCACCACCGCCCACACTGCCGTTTCAACACTGGCGCAGCCCGTCACGGCCCCACCTCATTGGCCCGTTGTTGCGACGAGATGCCGTGTGATGTCTTCGTCAAGGTGTCCAGATCCTCTCCATATTTGCCTCTCACCTTTCACCTCTTACGTGCTGCTGCTGCTGCAAGCTGGTTGCGCCTCCCGTCGCTGAAGACTCGTGATTGGGAAAGTACGTACTCGGGTTCGTAAACATGCAAAATTGCGAGTGCCGACCAAACTCCGATATTGAACAGTCAGCAATCCCCCATTCGGATATAAGGAGCGCAGAAAGTCCAGTTCCTCCCAATTCCCCGTCCCACCGTGACACCGGTCCCACGACCGCTTCGGACCCTTCCACCTGAATTTAATCTATCGAAACTTTGGCAACGTTGTTCTCCCGCAAAATACGACACAACAGAAATTCTGCTTCCCGCGGTCTCGAGACAAGGGGCGGATACTGGACTCTGGAGTCAGGTCTGACTGTACCAGTGTACCTGTGGTAGGTATTGCACCCTGCGACTTGCACGTATTCGTAAAAGGGCCCAAACGTCGAATCAGAGACCACGCCTCAGAGTCTTGGCTCGCGGCCGAGCTTCAGCATTCTCACGGTTTGCCTTGGCGCTTGACACAATCAACCGTTTCGGAATCTGGTCCCGTTCGTTCTTTTCTCTCGTGCGCCTGTGGCACCATCCTACGATGTTTTGAAAAAGACAGACTCTTCTATTATACCCTCCCCTTCGTCACAGCATACAATACTATAACAAATGAATGTCATGTATAATAAGTGACATTGACTTCACTAGTGTTTGCGTGGCTAGTCATGCTCTATGTGTAAAGAGACGTGCCTGCAATGCACATCCGCAAACAATGTTTCTCCTCCAGTCTTATATCCAAGTCGCTAGGTTTTGCGGCCTGCTCCCAAAGCAAGCCACAATTCTGACAGACGCCCTACCGAGACTCATGTTCTGCATGCTAGGATAGCAAGAGGCCCCTTGATGGCGAATTCGTCTTGAGCCACATCGGACAACCCAGTTCCTGCATGAATGGACGGTATTCTCGAAAACGGTCACGAATCGGCCAGAGAACAATAATCCAGAGTATACTTCTTATACTGTGGAACGACAAATAGTCTTCCTACGTAGAGTCGGCTATGTTGGTTTCGTAACTGCCAGCGCCCGTTTATCAGACTTCACCATCGTGAGAGGAAGAAAATGTATTGATTCATTAATCACAATTCACACGCCCCCATCTTCATGATTATCTCCAGTTCTACCTGACTGGTATGTCCGATACTCCGATGGCATAACCCGCTCTCCCGTCTGCTGAATCTGTCCGAGGTAATGCTCCGGAGCCATTGGAAGCTAATCCTATACCAACATATAAACCCAATTAGGCGGGTTTGGCCCAATCTTCATCCATTTCTCGAATCCTTTTACGCATGATGGCTCTCAACTCGCTGCCCACGTTCTCCCGGTACTTCTAGCACTACTCCGCCAGCCGGCGGCCAGGAGGCTCAACACCAGTGCTGCGGGTGCCCGAAACGCCTTGCTCCTCCATCGCCTTGACGTAGCTCTCCCAAATTTCCGTGACTTCGTCGTAGAATTCAATGTGGGAGTCGGCTAGGCCTCCGAGCTGCTTCTTGAACTCGACTCGCTTGATTCGCTCAAAGTCGGCGACCTCCTTGACCACCTCGTCGTCGAACATTTCGCTCGTCTTCTTGGCTCGCTCCGCCTCGGTAGTAAGCTTGTCAATGTTCATCTCCAGCTTCCTTTGGCGATCGCGACGGGCCTGCTCATGATCGACTCCACGCACGTCTTCGAGCTTGCGCATCAGCCGTCCGCTGGCACCGGACAGGCCTCCAGAGCCATGACCGGACTGGAGCTGGTCCCTGTCGACAGTGTTCTTGTTAAGATACTCCGTGAGCTGTTCGTAGTCCACCTGTTTCTGCTCTCGCGCCTTCAACAGGCTCTTCAGTGCCGTGCTGTACGCTTGCATGTCCCGGAGACTGCCGAGGTAGTCTCCATCAGTGACATCCTTCAACTTTCGCAGGCCCATAGCAGTGTCCTCGATCGAATTGGCGAAATGTCGGACTTCGTCCTCAACACCAGGCTCCAGAGTGATGAGCTTCTGGAATTGCTCTGCCAGATCCTTGAAGTCCAGTTCGAGATCGTTCTCCCGGCGTGCCACGCGCGCTACAACCTTCTCTATGTGGGCCAAATCCTCGTCAAGCTTGTCGCTTCTTTCCCGGACCTCCAAGAACCGCTTGTCATGCTTGTGAGCCTTGGAAAAGGCATTGAGGAAGCTATCGGTAAGATTGTCGAACACGCCGCTGCTTCCGGCATCGCTGCTCTGGGATCCTCTGAGGCTGCGGCTGCGCATCGTGGCGTTCCAGTCCGGACTCTCGAGGAAAATGTGAAGGATATCAGCTCGACGGAGGACAGGGTGAAGGGAGAGGCGGTTCAAGAAGCGTTGCAGCGAATGCGCTCGGCGGTTGGTGAAGTCCGGCCCAAAGCGGTTGCCACTAACATATTCCATACGCTGTTTATCGGGGAGAGGAGGAACCGCGGCGGTAGGGTAGTCTCTGCTCAGTGCCTTATACAAGAAGACAAAGTCTGTAAACCGTCGCCGGGCTGTGGTATGCGATCTCTGGAAGGAGGGGAATGTGGTCTGTAAATCCGTGTCAGCGCGCGAAGAAACCGTAATCGCAGCTTTGTAGCCAAACTCTACAAAGCAGCTTGAGACTTCTTACGTTAGTGGTGATGAGGTAGGAAACAAAGGTATCCTTGGATCCTTCATTTTCCTTGAGCGGCTCAGAAACTGTGCAGTCCAGAACTTCCCGGTCGTCGTCATTGCCAGGTGCGTCGCTTTCGTAGGCATGGTGTCCGTTTCTATCGGCATCCTCGTCGTACTCAGTGGCCGTCACTGAACTCGAGCTTTCGGCAGCAGTGTGCTCGTCCGTATTCCAGGAGACATTAGAGAAATCATCTTGGTGTTGATCCATGACCGCCATGGCGTCCTGCTAGGCGGACGTGGGGTTATGTGGTTGTTGTCGGGATCCGGAGTAGTCGCTTTTAGTGTTGGAGAAGCTAGGAATGAGGATCGTGGGGTGAGCCAGAAGACGCAGCGACAGGAATTGGAATCGCGAAGTTTGTAAACAATCAGATCTAGGAGGCTTGATCTTGGATCGTCGCAACGGATGGAGTTGGCGGAAAGAACGTCTCGTTTGCCGGACAATGGGCTGGAAGTGTCGGCGGCAGTGGTGGGGAATGGGCAAGAGCTGCCTGTCGCTGAACCATGAGAGGTGACGCTGCGAGCTTAGTGTAGCTGACCTGATGCGGTTGGGCAGCGCGATAGCGGGGAGATGTCAGGTACCCACACTTGTCCCTGAAAGCGGTCAGCGATGAGGTAACTCGCTAGCAGCCGTGCAACACTATCAGACCTCCAGTTCCGGAGGGCTATGACGACGCCAGCCAAAGCAGACGCAACCTAGAAACAGACGACAGAAGAAGACCAGGGGTTGCCTCGGATCGTCGAGCGTAACACTGGAAGCTCAGGCCAGCCTGCTCTTCTTTCGGATGAGCGAAACGAACTACAGAGCTAAATGGCTTTTGAACAGATTTGTCTGAGAATTTTAGTCGTTATGGGGGAAGGTTTGCTAGCAACGCATACAACGGCCACCATTATACAGTAGTGGAATCTATTTGCTTCCTGAGATGGATCTTTCTAGTGCCCTGTGATGTTCCCTAGGGGTGTTGTGAACCCTCTTCTTTTAGTACACGCTACCCAGCCTTATGCCATACACGTCTAACAAAGAAAAAGATAATGTTTGTCTACAGCTGCGAGCGCTTTATTTGTCGCTCTTCTCCGCCTTCTCAACCTGCGCCTTTCCATCTCTGGCAATCAGCATCTCCTGCTCGGCCTCCTTGGCTTCCTTGGCCTGGGTAGACGTAGCAGCTTGAGCATCCGCAGACTGGCTTTCTTCCTTCTCGTCAATGTTGTCAATATCGCGAGGGGTGGCAAAACCAGAGCTCGCGTTCTCCTCGTTCTGGCTGTTCTCCTCATCGATGAGCTCCTGCTGCTCCTTGAGAACCTCCAGGCGCTGCTTGTTGGTAGCGGCGCCCTCAGCGCTTGACACCTCGAGGGAGATCTCGTGGAACAGCTCATCGGGGATAGACGAGAGAACACCGACGAGGGCCTCGATCTGGCTGTGTGCAGCCACCTGTCCATACATGTAGGCGTTGCTCAGAACCAACAGAGTGGAGGGGACGCCGTCCTTCAGTCTGAGGTCAAGCCACTGCTGAAGGTACTCGCGCATTCTCGCGGGAGAGACGCTCGCTGTGCGGATACCGCGGCTGGCGCAAGCCATCTGCAGTTCACCGACGCTGAGACTGTCAACACCCTCGTAGCTAATCTGTCTGTCGTCGCGCTTGATCTGGCGCATGCGGTGACGGACCTGGTACCGCAACATGTTGTCGGTACCGAAGGTATTGAGGTTCATGTATCTGCACATGGAAACCAACTGGGGTCTGGAGAGGTTGTCCAGGGTCAAGTCATCCTTGAAGATCTTGCAGACCTTGATGATGTCCTCGCGGGTGGGCGACTCGCCGGAGGATCTAAGTTTCCGGAAGAATGTGGTAAATGCCTCACTCTGAGTCGTTGCCGGAGTCAACGGCAAACCAGTCTCTTTAAGACTGGACCGCAAGAACTGGCTGACTTCTTTGCGCGTCGTTCTGAGGATCGTCGCCTTGGCGTCTCTTGACTTTTGTCCCTCGTATGTGCTTGGCAGCATGTTGGGGAACAGGCGGAGAGCCACTGGAAGCAGAAGCTCAGCGAAAGGGACAATGACGAAGACAGAGAAAGGTACAAGGCGTCCAAGATCCTGGACAGTACGTTGCAACTGGCGGTTCTCTCTCCGACTGAGTTCGTAGCCAGCGGCCATCTTCAAGGCAAGCCGAGTGCTGATCTTGACTTCTGTGGCGAGCAACTTCGTTCCGTCCCAGTAATGGTGAGCTTCCTTCTTGACCTTTTGCCAAACTGTCAATTTCTCCTTGGCGGTCTTTTCGGCATCTGCAGAGGTTCCCTTCGCGGCCGCTAGTTCCGACAATGATGCGTCGGTCTCAGCCTTGTCTGCTGCCGCGGCATCCTTGGATGACTTGCTCTCGCTCTCAGCTGCATCTTTGGATTCGGCGGCAGCCTTTGAGTCGCTCTTCGCCGCTGGGGTGCTTTCCTTGGGCAGGGGCTTCTTAGCCGCTTCGACATTGAAGCCCGGCGGCGGACCGGAGGACTGGCCGTGGTTGTGGTGGTCGGTACCCAGATGACGGACAGGTACAAGGAGGGCGAGGGCGTTAACTCGTCGAGGAAGATGTCTTGCGTTTCGGCCGAGCACAGCTGACGAAACACCGAGGCTAGACAGCGCACGCGCTGGAAGATGTTAGAGAAGAACTGCAGGCGTGGCCAGTCGAGCACACAAGAAAACGGCCCGTGGAGATGGGTGAGCGGGCAGGAAGCATTCGCAGGGGATGGGCTTACCGTTGCCCAGGAGAGGGTTGGCAATCGCCGCCCGACGAGCGACACTGGCGGAGGCGCTCATTCTGCAGCGGTTGACTGGCAATCAAGAGAGTTTGATGAAGTTGTTGTGAATAAAGAGCGGACTACCGAAGAGTAGCGATCATGGGCGACTATCTGGAGGTGGGCAGTATACTACAACTAAAGACAATGATGGAGAAGTGGAAGATGTACAATGATGCGAAACGAACTCAAGAATTCTGGAATGGAGGGCAACCGATCGCATCAAATGGAATGCTACCACGACTTGTCCCTGGCTTCCGAAACCACCCATGGCCGGGGGGGCCCAGAGACTACCAGAAACAGCACGTGCAAGATCACGGGGTTTTGCCTCCTTTGCTTCTCTCGGGGTTCGCTTGCAGACAATGAAAGGCGGGCTGGCCGCTGGCACTGCGGGAGGATGGAGATGCTGAGCAAGCACCACAGCACTGTAAGTACCTTCGAACCTTACCTAGAGAGACCTGTACTTGTAGGAACCACCTCAGATCCCGGTTCAATTTATCTGCAGGTACGTACCTGGGCGTGCTGGGCCGAGCCCGTGCCACTTGTCAGTTCTGGGCTGGCACAGCTAGGTACATACGTTTGTGTGCTGCTCCTTTGGCTTCGACCACTGTTTGTATTGTTTTCCACCCGCTCATTCGTTCGTCTGCCACCATCGCCACATGGGTAAGCCATAGACGACGGCCGTCTCCTGTAGATCGGTGGGTCATCCTGGCCTTAGCTACCAGAAGCTTGACTTTCTGGGCTTTCGGGCTGTGCAAATCGCTCCCTTAACCCGTGTCGGTGTTAGTAGACAACAACCGGCAACTAGTTACCGGGCAGTGCGTTGATGAGGAACTCTGCCTGGGCTGAACCTGGCCATTCGTCTTTTGTTGGAACTTGAACTTCTTACAAGTTACGTGGGCTTCTCAAATGATGCCGTTTGGCACTGTGGAGGAGACAGATCGGCGGTATCGGGCAGAGCTGTCCGCAGTGGCCAACTTGTAGCAGCCTGGCACAGTTCCCGGGCTGTTGTTACTTGTGCAGCGGCCAATTTGAACTGGTAGAATAGGAGTAAAGAAGCCATTGCAGTAGACATAGAAAACCTGGCATGTTGTCCCGTTGTATCGCCATCGTCAAGCCTTATCTATCGCTGTGCAACTGGTGGCTTTCTGTGACCAGGAGAGTTTGTGGCACGAAACACTGAGCAAACAGTTGAGCAAGTCGGTGATGGCTGACGGGCAATCCAAGTGCGGCATCGGAATGTTGCCTACCTACCTCTCGCTGCGTATGTGCTGGCTGTGGTGTTGCTAATAGCAAACCGTAATACGCCCTCAACAATATCCGTAAAACTCCCTGATTTTTCTCCCGACTCCGCTCGACATTTTTTTGGTGGGAAATCACAAGCTCGTCATTCGACTGCTGACTTTCCCTTGCCAGCTGGCACCACCTAGGCCACGACCTTCTCAAGGTACGTAGATGCTATCTTATCTCAACATCGTCACCAGCACCAGCACCAGCACCTGCGGAAGAGTGACGAGACTCGGAGACACTGTGCCCTGGCTGCCTTAGCGTTCCCCGGACTTTAGAGCTTGAGACCGGCCGACCAGACGAGTCGAGGCAAACTTGGAAGCACCAGCCCAAAGGCTCAGGGTCCAGCACAGCACCAACTGCCAACTTGACGGGGGTGAACTTGCGAATCCCGACCCACCCCGAGAAGCCAGCAATTCAGTCGAGCCAGTGACGGCGCACGCTGCCACGCTGCCAATCTCGACGGATAGAACCAGTGGAGGGTCTTTGGAGAGGAGAGAGAGAGAGAGAGCGAGATCCGGCCGTCGGCCACATAGCCAGAGTCGACACACGTTCCTCGGGTCCCCTCAACACCCATCCGTCAAATCGACCGATTTCCAAGCATCCCCGTCCGAGGTGCGCGCCAGCACCCCCGTCGCTGCACTCGCCTGCATCCCACCACCGCGGTTCTGCGTCCGCTCGCTGTTCTCCACCCTCCTTCTCGGCATTCCTTCACAACCACCTCGACCTTTGCGCTTCCTCTCTCTTTTCTTCCTCCTCCTTCTTCCTCCCCTCCCTAGATTGTCGCTATATACCAACGTCCGTCGTCCTGTAAAGATCATGACTTTCTCCTGAATCCCCTCCGAACACGATCCCGTCTGGGTCTCGCGATTCCGACTCGTTCCTTTTCCCCCGCACAATTTGGGACCAGCGCCATCTCATTCCCGCCAATTTCGAAGCTACCGATACATAGTACCTGGGCATATACCTCGAACCAACCCCTCCGTCACTCCCAATTCAACCACATTACCTGCGCCAACCGATCATTGATTCGTGTATACTATGAGACTCCGCAAAGCTGCCCGCGTTATTCTCGTCGGAGCCCCCGGTGTTGGAAAAGGAACGCAGTCCGAACGACTCCTTCAACGGTTTCCCCAGATTCAGTCCATTAGCACCGGAGACCTGCTTCGCAACAATGTCAAGCTCCGGACCCCCCTCGGTACGTGTCACATGCTACCGCTGCCAACCAGCACTTGCTCTACACATCCTGCTGCACATGCTAACCTCTCCTTCTTACAGGTATCAAGGTCGAGAACACCATGAAGTCCGGCGGACTCGTGGCTGACGATCTGATTATGCGCCTCATCTCCAACGAGATGTACAAGAACGGCTGGCTTCTCAACAGCCGCAGAAGGCCTCAGGTCATGACCTTGTCATCTTCCGCCGCCACAGTCGACTCGTTCTACGAAGAGCAGCTAGATGACTTTGTCACGGCTACCGGAGCTCTGGACAGCCATGGGCCACCGGAGGCATCCGAAGACCCCGACGCCTCTTTCATCCTGGATGGTTTCCCACGGACTGCCACCCAGGCGGCGGTTTGCGACAAGTTGATTCCGATCAACCTGGTGGTGTCGCTCAAGACCCCGTTCAACGTCATCATGGAGCGCATCTCCGGCCGCTGGGTCCACGAGCCCTCGGGACGCGTGTACAACACATCCTTCAACGCCCCCATGATTCCCGGCAAAGACGACGTCACCGGAGAGCCACTTACACAGCGTCCGGATGACACTGAGGCGGTGTACAAGGAGCGCTTCCGCAAGTTCCAGGAGACCAGCGAGCCTCTTCTGGAACACTACGACAAGAAGGGCGTTCTCTGGGAGGTCGAGGGCATGAGCAGCGACGAGATCAGTCCCCTGCTCTTCGACGAATTCGAGAAGCGCTTCGTTCATTGATTTAAATTCATCTTTTGTTATATCTACAGGAGTTATACGTGGTCAAGATACCTCGGGCTGGCCAGAAAGACCCATGGCTAAAAACGGGCAGGTCGGACGGACGGGAATAATCCCCCAGGGCGGATGCAGCGCAAACAATCTGCAGCTTGAAATGTCGATAGTTATCATGAGTATTTTTAACAATGTACAAATATTTCATCTCTTACACGCATCTCCTGGCTGCGCTCTGCACGGTCACTCGCCTACTATGTACACACGTTGGATAAGGTCAGTAGGCGCGTAATGCTAACCCGCTCAACTGTTGTGCGTAAGGTAAGTCTAAACGAGTTCGTTTGAGACTCCCCTCAAGTTCAAGCAACTAAAACAGCTTAGTCTTGCAACCATCTGAAAGTCGGATTTCCGAGTAAGGTCGACTTCGAAAGTGGTACCTCTTTGCATGAATGATGGGCAGAACTAGACCTCGGGTAGTATTCTAGTAGATGCTGTAACGTATGCCGCGGGGTAAGATAGCCATCCGGCGGCAAGGGTGCCTTGCTGTCATCCAAACAAGCACTTCTCTTTACCCGGGCCACTGCGACGCCGCGGTCAACGTGGCAGGCCGCAGGCAGGCTCTTGGGTTATACGGTTCACCCTTTGGTCCGGGGCCCCTCTCACCTGTTTGTTCCTACTCATACACACATTCACCATCAGGTACTATGGGGCACTTGAGACGCCTCCCCGCCATCCGGCGCCGAGTAGTTCCAAAATTCTTGGGGGCGAGAAGACATTTGCCGTCCCGTGGCTCCCGTGACGTACCGTGATGACCATAGGCCCGGCCCGGATTTAATGCAGGGTCCACAATCTCGGAGGAAAGCTGCGGGCTTCCGGGGCACACCGACCACCTTGCATGGTCAAGCCCTTTGTTCTGTCAGACGACGAGTCTGGTTGGCTTGCTAGTGGTGCCAAGGCAACCTCGAAGTCTTGTAGGTTCGTGAATGTGTGACTTCTGCTGCTTACTGGATGACCGGACTTAGGGCGGAAGTCCTCATGGTCTATGGCTTGCGGCAACCCCCCTGAAAGCGTCGTCTGGCGTGAGAGAGATTGACAGATGAATATATGTGTACATATGTACGAAGATGGCTTGATGATGGTTCTTGGGCTAGTGAAGTCTGTCTTAACGCGAGCTCAGTCTTCTGGTGTATCAATCTCCCCTATAAAGCAACGCGGTTCCATCTTCACTTACACGCCCAAATTCCATTTCGATATTTAGCCTTCAACATTAACCATGTCTCAGATCCCTCCAACCCCTCCTTCTCATCCACCCGGTCGCTACACCGAGCTGCACAAATACGAAGACCTTACCGGACCAGGCGACGCCCGCCCAACGGCCCTCCAAATCGTACAAGATCAAGACCTCGTGGGCAAACTCCCGCACAAAGTCATCCTCGTCACCGGCGTCTCCTCAGGCCTGGGCATCGAGACGCTCAAAGCCCTCGCGGCGACCGGCGCGACGGTCTACGGCACGGCGCGAGACCTCTCCAAGGCGCGGGCCGCGCTAGACGAGAACGGAGACGACGAGTCCCTCGCCTCTGCGCCGAATATACATCTCCTCGAAATGGACCTCGCCAGCCTCGACAGCGTACGGGCCGCGGCGGCGGATTTCAAGAGGCGCAGTGACCGGTTGGATATCTTGATTAACAATGCTGGTGTGATGTATACCCCCGAAGGGAGCCGAACAAAGGACGGCTTCGAGATGCAGTTTGGGGTGAACCACCTCGCGCACTTTCTCCTCTTCACGGAGCTACGAGACCTTATGGCCTCGTCATCGACGCCCGGGTCCGCGGCGCGGGTTGTGAACGTCACGTCCTCGGGCCACAGGCTGCAGGAGATGAACTGGTCCGACGTCAACTTTTCCCGGCCCGGCGCGTACGAGGGGTACAGAGCCTACGGGCAGTCCAAGACGGCCAACATACTCATGGCCAACGGCGTGGACCGACGGTACGGGAGAGCAGAAGGCGGTGGGATCCACGGGTATAGCGTTCACCCGGGCACGGCGATGACGGGGTTGCAGGTCGAGGTGAAGGAACAGATGGAGGCGCTAATGGGGAACGAGGCGGCGTGGAAGACGGTGAAGAGTCCTGCACAGGGGGCTGCTACGGCGGTGCTGGCTGCGTTGGGGAAGGAGTTTGAAGGGAGAGGGCCGTTCTATCTGGAGGATTGCGAGGTCAAGGGGGAGACGAGGGAGAACTTGGGGTGGATGGGCGAGGGGTATGCTTCGTGGGCTTGGGATAGGGGTGAGGAAGAGAGGTTGTGGGCTTTGAGCTTGGAGATGGTTGGGTTGCCACGGGAAGAAGGCGGCGACTGGTAAGAATGGCATCTAGATGGTAATAGTTTCGTTGTAAGAGATTCGGAAATCACAGTGAATAGTCTATATAAGCGATTTCTTCTTAAGCATGGGATGCAAGCTCCATTCATGTGTGTGATAGTGCGAACGTCTTGTGATTCTTTTTGACTATAAGCCTTCCCACTTCTCACCATATGTGGTGGATAAATGTGACTCGCCTTGGTGCTTAGGGACATGTTCTCGATCTTCTGGCCATAAATGTCGAATATACGTTAAATACACGTTTATTTACTTCAATGCTTTGGGACGTAGCGTTCTAAGTGGGCGACAAGTTGAATCGCCGCCAACAAATCATCTTTTGTCTCCATCTCTAGCCCTACCACATTTGGTATCATAACCTTTATTAACTGCGTAAGGTAATTCACTTCTCACGTCAAGCAAGGAAAGAAACTTAAGCAATGAGTGACGCGCTAACTTGTCACACAATTTGTGTCCTCAGCAGCAGCCTCCGAGTTTTGAAGGCTGAATGGAGCGTTAGATCGAGATGAGATACCGCAGAGAGCACGCCTCCTGCAACACAAATACTATGATAGAAGTTGAACAACATCCGAACATATCACAAACATGGACTGAACATCAAGTATAGTACTCTCTTCTCATAAGTATGACTGCAGTGTCACCCTTGATCCCGCGCAGCAAATCCACCTGCAAAAAGCGTTTGTTGGTCTATTCACCAACATCAAATATCACGGCGAATTTAATAAAGGCAAAAAAACTACAAACGTAGTCAACTTAACCTGTTTAAATGCTCAATACGGTTTCCGCTGGATGGTCGTGGACGCACCGCCCGATCTTGGCACCTTTCCGCCCGCACGTGACCGTCATATCTTCGGAAATCATTTCGCGATAGAACGGCGAGAGTTACGGATACTAACCAAAATCATCCCAGAATCCACAACAGCATCTCCCCCCCCCCCTCCCCCCGGGAGTCGCAACCGGGGCAAGGGGGAAACTAGACAAAAAAAAAAAAAAGCTCTTGCGACCTCGTGGCGGGACAATCCGCTTTCTCCTCCTCCGCCCCGTCTGCCCCGTGGAGAAAAAAAAAACAGGTCGACCGTCGGCAGGTCGGTCGACTCGGCCCTATCCACGACGTCAAGGACCAAGTCCACAATGACCCCGAGATGACAGACCACTTTCCAGTTTGCATCCCGAGGGGTTGGCTGCTCCGGGCTTTGGCCGACGTTAAGTCCTGTTGACAATTTTTGGCGTTTTCTTCCGGTTTTCCCTACCTCTTTTGTTTTTCGATGATTTTTCGCCGGGCCCTTCTTGGCGCTTTGTGTTTGGGCATTTGCTATTCGTCTTTGGCCTTCCTGACGAACAAGCTGTCTGTCTGTCTCATTTCGCATCTCATGCCCTAATGGAATCGATCAGCATCTGCCGGATACCACGTCGTCAGCCCTAGATAGCAATCATAGCATGAAGACGAAAGGGGGTCTTTGCGGGCGCAGAAATGTCGAGCAGAAGTTCTCTCTCGACCATGAGACGGAGACTGGTTCGTCGTTCCCTTCAGCTTTCATTTGATTCATGTTCAACAGCCCAAACCAAACAAAACCCAGAGAAGCAAGTGCAACCCCCCACCCCTCAACAAGCGTCTTGCGTCTTGCGTCGCTGCGAAAGCGTGTGAGCGTCAGCGGACCGAAAAGAGGTGCGTGGAGACTTTTTGGAGACAGGTCCTCCACATTTCCCCCGAGTGGGAGCCCGGACGAACTCCCCTTTTCACGCAAGGCGGGAGGATGATCGATTTCACCCAACGGGGGTCATCGCTATCGCAACCCCCTGCAGGACGAGAGACTTGCAGGCTCCCAGCGAAGCAGACTCGTGGCAGCGTATGTAATCGTCGTCCCATCGGTTCCAAATGCCGAAAGAAGGATTCCCAAGGAAGGGCTCGAAGGAGGGCTGGGCGTCAGCCTTTGGCTCTGTGCCAAGCAATGGTCTGCAAGTCTAGGCATCATTGTTGTTGTTGTTGCTGCTGCTGCTGCTGCTGCTGCTGCTCTTTCTTCTTCCACTTCTCTTTCTCTCTGCGTATCTCTCGCACGCTTTGCATATCGCTGTGTCGACTGTCTTTCCAATGGTCCGAGGAGCAGCCGTGAAGCAGCGAAGCTTGTTGCGGGAATACGACGTAGGTCGAGTTTTCCCCAAGGGTTAAATTTGGATCTTTTTGCCGTCATGGCCCATGGGAAGCTTTTCAGTCCGACCTTTTCCCCGTTCCATGGTCACCCATGTCGTTGGGTCCACTACTGTATCGGCTACAGCCACATCTTAAAATCAGCTTTTTGCTGCAGGACTGCGGAAACACGCTGTCAGTCAGTCAGTGTCATAGTGTGTTGGGCTCCCATCCTCCCAGGCTCGGCTTGAGTGTAGCAATTTGGACGTATGCTATGTAGTAGTAGCGTGCTCCATACACTAAGAAGTCTGAGATCTGAGAAAGTGGGAGAGTTGCACTCCGTAGAAAGAGGCGTGAGACTCGAGGACAAGCGCCCGCTGCCCACCCGCCCCTGTCCGGGGAACGCCCGAGGCCTTCATCCCGGCTTTTTAACCAACTCCTTCCATATTATCCCCTCCACGTCCCCATCGCAGGAGCTGAGCTACGCAGTGCCCGCTCTTTGGGACTTTCCTCAGTCGAAAAAAAGCACAGTCAAAAAAGCAGGAAGAAACCTTCATTGGCGCGTTTATATCCAAAAGCAAGCTTTGGGAACTTGGCAAGGACGACCTTTCCTCAAGACTCGACAACCCTGGGAAAAGAGACTGGACGAGGACGACCAACAACGGCACACCATCTCCAGACTCCACGTTACATCCCCTTTTTCTCACGGATTCATTGCCTCCAGGGAACCTGGCTGCCACTCTTACGCCTGCGAAGACTACCGGTCCTCAATTCCTTGGCTCCCACGTATCTTTGCTTGACGGACGGTTTTCCAATTCTGGGTTTTCCCATTTTCCCGCCGTCTCATCTACCTTAATCTAGGCTTATCCTTTTTCAATTTCGTTTCTGCCTACCTACGGATACAGGCGACGGATACACCAAAGTGAGGGACCGCCGATCGAGAAACGACTGCCTATCTGCCCTACCGTAGCTCCCATACCCTACCCTTTTTTCCCCTTCCCCAACGTCGCCTGGGAAGACGAAAGAAGGGCCTCAGGACCTGCAGAGACGGGACGTACCTCGAATCCTACACGCGGGCCCCTGCATCCGCCAGCAGCTGTGAGGTGCTTCTTTTGGTCGGACGGAAAGAAACACCACGAACATACGAACTACATCTAGAAGAAGCCAGGAACGTGCGGTACTAAGGGACGACTTTTGCGTTATTTCCCCAATCTTTCAAACAAATTCCCGCCGCCCGCCGCGCGGCGGGCCTGCAATGTCAAGATGGAGGAGGAGAAGCATAAGTTCATCATCCCGATCCACGAACGGCGTCAACCAGGGACCGTGACCATCGACCCGAATTCCGTACCGTCACAACCGCAACACCAACCTACAACACCGCTACCAAACCATGAGGCTCAATCGCCCATCGATTCTTCCCCCAGGATACAGCAAATCGAGTCCTTCACATCCTACCCGCCGGGCGCCCACCTCCGAGGGGACGACATACCCGACGCCTCGCCGCCCTACCCAGAGTCGAGAATCAGCTCCGAGGCGCCCGTTGTCACACCGGCGCCGGTGCCCGCACGAGGACAAAGCCACCACCACCGCGTCCCGGCGCCGGCTCTGGCGCCAGCCGACCCCGAACGGCAACAGGGCGGCACCTTGGCAACATGGAAGCAGAGGTTTGATGGTATCGGCGGGAGGGGGCCACAGCAGCACCCGAGAAAGACAATCTTGGGCCTGACCGTTCTACGCTTCTGGGCCGCAGTCGCACTGGGAGTCATCATCGTCGGCGTCGCCATCGCCGTGGGCCTGGCGTTGGGTTTGGCTAACCGGTACGTCTGACGAACGAGCTTACTATCTACCTACCTTACCTTTCCACCCATTCCTCCTGTCAACTCTTTGTCTCTCCTCCTCCCCCGTCTTCGTCATGACAGCCTCGAAGGCTGACGGAAAGCGTCCTCCTTTTTGCGAAATTCAGCCCCTCCGACGAAAACGAACCCAAAGCCGTAATCCAACAGCTCGGCGTCCCTTCGCCCGCCCCGATCAATCCATACTGCCCGCTAGCTACTGCGGGCGTGAACACGACGGTAACCCCATACGACGCCTCCGGCTCCCCCATCCGCTTCAACAACGACGAGGTCATGTCTTTCGACGTCCTCTGCAACACGTACTACCCGATGCGCCAGGGGATCAACCCGTACCTCCGCGACATCCTCGTCATGACCGTCCCAGATATGCTCACCTGCATGACCCTCTGCGCTCAGTACAACCAGGGCTACAGCGACGCCGTCGGCGACGACGTGTTTCTTGACGGCGGCGGCATCTGCGTCGGCGTCGCGCTCGTCAAGGGCACGGCGCAGTTCTGTCACTTACAGAACGCCACGGGGATCAACCAGACCACCGCGTCTGGCGGTTTCGATGTCGATAGCGCCGTGCTTTCGGGCCAGTGGGCCAGCCTGACGAGCGTGGAGCAGATCCGAACCTTTGGCGGGAATATTGACGATGTCATTGGCGCTAACGCGACTACGACTACGACTGCAGCCGCGACGGCCACGACCGGTTGATCCAATAGTGAACCGATTTCTCGGACGATCATTGGTGCGGTTTTCATGTCAATACTTCATTCCCGTGTAATGAAACGAGGGATTATGTGTTTTTGGTTGAAGCGATTTGGAGTATTTATCGACCCTCCTCAGCATCCGGAACCGTTAATCCAGAGTCAACGCTATACTCTCTTGGTCTGACTTTTGGTCCTGGTGCGATTTTACTGTCTGAGGAAGGCACATTTGTGATAAGATACAGCGATGACATTGGCGAAGCGTTGTGTTGGATATATTCGAGCGAATTTGGAGCGAATTTGGAGGCGCCTACGACGAGGAAGCTCCCGAGTTTGCGATATTTTGGTCTACGAGATGGGACGCGCCCGGAAGGCGCGGCGAGCCCCTGATTCTGGACTATGTGACAGCTTGAGGAGAAGGTGTGCCTGTTCACGAACGAGACATGGTTGGGTAAGCTCATTAGTAGTGTCCAGCATTTTGGACGAATGTATCTGGAACGCCGCAAATATACGCAAGAGGCACCAGGCGCAGACTATAGATGACGCTGCCAACATAAGAAACGATCAATGGAAAACTGCATACATCATGAAAAGTCAACTTGTGTATTGATTCTCTCGTAAAACGTACCACAATTTTATACCCTCAAAAGAGAACCATGTCCAAAAACTCCGCTTTGAAGACCGTCTCTTTGTGGCCCTCATACGCTGTTTACTACAAATACTTCTGCTAGCACGACGTTTCCCGCTTCAGTGGCCTGGTGTCAACTCAGCACTAGACAGCCTTCTTCGAGGCGTCAGTGTGTGAAGCCGAGCCCTTGCGGGACGTAGTTAGTCGAGGGATGTAGATATTCAGGCCACCAGGTTCGAGCAACGGGACAGGTATGTGACCCGAGGGCTAGTTGCGCCACTCAGAACCGTTGTCGATCCCGGCGGGTGTGCCATTGCTTCCGGACGCCTTGTTCGTATCGTCGTCATCATCGTCATCCAGCACACGGGCGAGCTCATCGGGGTCCTGCATCTTGGCATCGGGGTCAATGACACCCTCCTCGAGCTCCTCATCCCGGCGCTGGTTGTCCCGGTCGGTATCCAGAACACCCTCATCTGCGCTGACTGAGATGCCACGGGCACCCCACTTGGGCCGTCCACCACCGCGGCGGCCCTGGCCATCGTCGTCGCCGAGAGCAGGGGCGCTCTCTTCGTCGTCAGAGTGGGCATCAATGCGCTTTCCAAAGATTCTGTTGAGCAACCAGCCTCTACGCAAGTCGTCGGCATCGACAATGCCACCGTTGCGGAGCTTGACGCGCTGGCGGGTGTAGTATACCCAGGCGAAGTCGACATACAGCGCCGTCTGGATAATGCCAAAGATGACAGAGACCGTGTTTGGCGCCTTGTCGTTGATGTCGAGCTCGCGCGTGATCCATCCGATCAGGTATAATCCACGGTACGAGCCAAGGGTGACGAGGTAGAAGGAGTCGATGACGGTCGGAACGGTTGTCTGGCGAAGCAGGAGCAGTTGAGGCAAGACGCAGATGGATTCGAGGATCTGGCTAAAGTCCCAAAGCCACTGTTTGGTATAACGTTAGCAGCTGTATGGCCAGCGGTGACCAGCATTTCGTGCGAAGGTTTTGACTTACGACGCGGAAGCTCCAGTAGCTCTCAAAGATGAGCATGGCAAAGGGAGACAAGACGAGCGAGAGGCCGAAGACGCCGGCGCCGACCTTCCACGAGAGCTCACGTTCTCTGGTGCGGGGGAAGATCCACTGCATGGCCCCGATGATGTAGAAGGATGATGAAATATAGAATATCTTGAAGATGAAGTTCCATGCTGATTGTTCGGAGAAGATGTCGAGGTAGCGTGTGCAGAAGACCAAGGCGTACAGACCCTGGGTGATGAGGGAGACACCTGCGCAGACACCATCAGTCAACAGGCATTCATTTTGGAAAATCGGGCAGCGTACCTTCAGCACTCCTGTTGCGATGTATCGCAATCATCAGGATGCATTTGGAGAGGAGATGGGAGATGTCTCCCATGAAACGAAATACCTGGTCAGCTAGTTAGCGGACTGCCTCGGGAATCACGTATCTAGGTCGACGCAGCACGTACGTTCCACGCAGTCATGGTGCCGGATGGGAAGTCGAGCTTCCAGCGTATTCCGATGTGTAGAGAAGTTGTGATGTGGTTGGTGGGAGGGACTCGGGGAATGCGATTGCGACACGCAAACAAGAACGGACAGGAAAAGGGAACGGCAGCTCCGTTTCACATCACACGAAGGCCGGCGAGCTGCCCGCGGTAGAATGGAGAGAATAGAATTGGATGAAGCTCCGATGGAGAGGCCGGGTCCGTTTGAAACGAAGCTCGGCGATGGGAAGGGTGCGATAGGTATAAACAAGCCGAGGAATGAAGCTATTTCCAAGTTGAAAGTGCGGAAAGGTTACGAAGCTCGAGGTGCCCTCCTGCCAGTTTCCAGATTCAGCTCTTACGCCGCGCGGGCAGTCACGCAGTTGCGCCCCCCAGCTGCACCTGCACCAGCTGGCCTTATCAGCTCGAGCCTGAGCCTTATCCGTGCTGGGGGAAGGTGACGACAGCCCCAGGCCCCCAGCCACGTTGTCCTGCCAGGAAGCGTTGCTATTGGCTCGTATTTGGCAGGATCGCTTATGTAACCCCCACCTTGAGGGATAGCGCCAGTGAAGAAAGGGTGGATATTGCCCCGACATTACCTGCGCTGCTGCGCGTATTGCAAAGGCCATGCCCAATTGAGAAATGCATCTTCAAGCGGGGAGCATGAGGTAGGTAGAAGATGGTGCTTGACCGAATTTGGCTGCCTATGACCCAAGAGCTGTTTGTTTGACAATTTGGATGGCCTTCCTCAGAACGTTTCGGTCATCCTCAAAGGTCAGTCTTTGCACAGCTTCATCAAGACTAAAGAAGCTCGCACTGAACTGAGCCTCCCCACCAACCGCCTCTGTTCCCTCTCCCTCCTCGAGAGTTGCAACATACCACCAGATGAGTTTCACCCCAGATCCCCCATCAACATCTCGCATCGTCAGCATAAACGGCTCCGTGAGTCCTCGACGCGCGGCTGCTTGATCTGGGACATTTGCATCGTCATCCGGTCCCGTCGCCCGCGTGGCCATATCAACAGGCAGAAGTCGGCAGCGGAAGCCCGTCTCCTCAAGCACCTCTCGTAAGGCTGCCTCGTGCCTCGACTCGCCGCAATTGCGTCTGCCCTTGGCCAGGAGCCATTCGTCTGTGGATAGGTAATGAATCAGGCAGATCCTTGCCGGGTCCTTGGACAAGTCGAAGGGGATTGCGCCGCAGCTCTCGACAAAAGCTTCAGAGGCGTACTGCCTGGTGACATAGTTGGAGGCTGCCATTTTGGGCCTGCCTTACCCGCTGGCTTGGGTCGGTCTATATTGGTAGCGCGAGCGGAGTCCTCTTCCCAAGTTCCCGCAGAGTCGATCTCATGGGCATCTAGCAGGATGGTGTTGTATTGCAGAGTCGTCAGTGCACAGGCTCGGCGCTGTTGTTTTTGGCGGGGACCCTTGTCTCGCTTGCTTCCGCGCCGGTCTACGGATATTCGTACAAAAGCTGGCCGGCCGTGCTTTCTTAGGCCGACCGGGTTGCGCAGCTGTTCATGGCGCTAGTCGTCGACGGACCGGCCGCGAAGGCCAAGATTTCCAACGAATTTGTCCAATTGTCAAATCAGGAGCTACGATGATGAAGCTGGGTAAGGTGCTAAGAGACAAGAAGTCGACGATCGCCTTCGCTCCACAATATGTGCTATGTACCTACTCAGTGTGTCAGTACCGCAACTTCGGAAAGGCCCGAGGTAACTCTGAGCATGAACTTCGATATTACCATCTTTTGGACTCGGTGCAACCGATGGCCTTTGTTTCTGATGTCGTCCCAGGCTATAACGTATCTCGGGAACTAGTCTGCCAGCTATCTCTTCTGACAAGCTTAATTCCTGAAATTTAGTCTTTTCTACCATCATCTATATCCACGAGGATAGCTATACTCGTATCTTCACTTCACGGACAAGTCAGGATGTTGAGCCCGGACAGAGTTCAATGCCTTAGAATAGGTAGTAGGAACTCATTCTCGAGCCTTGACCGAAACTTATAATTCGGATCGCCTATAACACTACCGAGATCCCACATGTCACTTGTCCTGATGGAATGAAAAGCAATGACCAATAACCAGGCCACGCATCTCACCGCGTTGAATGACACTCTGTAATCACAATCAAGCCAAACGGCTTCCGGCGACGTTGAGACAACAAACGCGGCCACCCGAGCGCAATAACACAAAGCCACATCCCGTCCAAATCTCCAGCGGTTCCCCAATCCCAAATGAACCAAATGGGGACAAAGATTGAAGCCAAAAAAGCAACCGGAGCAGCATCCCCCTTGGGCCCGCTTGAGCCTCATTAAAATTCCACAGCATTGCGCTGCGCGCAGCAAAAAACAATTAAGAAAGACGTCGTAAGCACATTGTTAACGCTGCGTGGAGTCGGCTGGCTCCCCCCTCGGGATGTGGGCGGCAGTCAGGTAGGCATCGCACATAGCACCATAGCACCATGGGATTCCCATTCCAAAAAAGCAACCCAACGCATGCAAGGGCCACCCAATGCCGGTCCGCCCGCGATATCTTTAGTGCGGGAAGAGGTGCGGGACACACGGCAGCGCCAAACGGCACCGTGGGAGAAATGGGGGGCACAATATGACGCGGCCCAGCCGAAAAAAAAGCACCAACAGAGACACTTGCTACGGACCTACACCGTCACGTCAAAGGAAACACAGCATCCCACACCCATGCCTGGGCCCTGGGTGAGCATTTTGGCCCCTTCTCTAAGGCGGTGCAAGCTTATCCCCGGCCATCAAAGGCGGGTAAGTCGGCCCACCAAACGCCCATCGCTGATGCTTCCGTCTGCTCTGCTCTGTTGTCGCCCGTAGGACACAGCCAGGGCTTGCTGTGTTGGTCCGGCCGTTTGTGCGGTTGTCGCAGTGCCGGCGCGTACGTAGGTACATGTGGGGGGGTGAGCTGGGATTGGAAGGGGAACATGGGTTTTTGACAGAATCTCTGCCGCAATACCGCCCGCGCGCCGTTGGGGGGCTTGCAACTTGCGTTCAAATTCGGAGGAGGCTAAGCTTGTTGATCACATCAGGTTTTTGGGGGGTCTTACGCGTGCTTTTCCTTTCTTGCTAACCTGTTGCTTCGGCCCTTGGAACTGAACACACACCCCGGTCTGGCGCCTTCGCCGCCCCTCTCTCTCTCACCCCGTCCCGTCGATGGATGGGTAACCGGGAGCACGCATCGGGTTCTTCGGCGGATTGGGTCGTACGTACACCACGCTGTACATACACTACGGGATGATGGGGGGAAGATGGGAAGGAATGCATATGCGTATGTCCATTGGGATAGGTAGAGGTAGATAAAATCACTGCGGTCCCCCTCCCCTCCCGTCTCCTCTTGAGCTGTCCCTCTGGTGGAAGAAGTGATTGGTGTACCTGTCGAGCTTTGCTTTATCAAAGTTTTTCTTGGCTTGCACCTGGACGGACGTCTCTCGACTTTCGACAACCTCGCCGCAAAATCGGAATCTCTCATACTGAAGTGACTGGGGTGGAAGAAGGAACCAAGCGCTCTTGCTCCCTGTTCAAGCTTGCCTGCTTATCGCCGCACCGCAACGCACCTTGGATGACGTTTTGCCCACCTCAGATGAACAGGAAGTGAAAAGGAATTAAACGACCGCAACTTCCGGAGCTCTCCAATACTCATATTTCTCAAAAAATACCATACAAGCCAAAGTCGCACAAAAGTTTGGAGCTTCAAAAAAAAAAGTCGATACAGCCAAAGTAAAACGGCGGAAAATCCAGCCAAAATGCAAATCGGACGCCTCCTTTCGACGATCGTCGTTGGTCTCACCATCGCGCAAGCCACACCGATCCAAGATAAGACTTCAGCCTCAACCCCCGATGTGGAAGAGCGCAAGGAATCACGGGCCAAGGCACCCAAGTATTTTCAGGAATCAGAGTAAGTCATCAAACGCTTCTCATGCCAATTTTATGCCATTTTTTCGATATCTTTACGATGATGAGATTTGGGATGAGATGAGATGGAAGAAGCAACCAAGCGTCTTCCCGAAACTCTAATAAACCTGCCCATGAAGATCACCAACACCTTCATCACGACCTAGTACCTTATTCCCAACGGTATAACTAACACCCACACCAGCTTCTCAATCCACTACGACGCCCGCTTCGCCACAAAACCCCTCAACGCAACAGCCCAGCGCGAAGCAGTACAGGTCCTGATCCAGACCTACCTCGCCACCCTCCGCGACATCGGCGTCCAGACCTGGCTCATGCACGGCTCCCTCCTCGGCTGGTGGTGGAACAAGCAGACGCTCCCCTGGGACTCGGACGCCGACGTCCAAGTCACCGAGAACGGCATCAACTTCCTCGCCGCCTACTACAACATGACCACCTGGTACTACAAGTACCCGACCATCCCGCAGGGCCGCTACTTCCAGCTCGAGGTGAACCCCAACTACGTCCACCGGGGGCAGGACAACTTCGACGAGGACAACGTCATTGACGCACGCTGGATCGATATGGACAATGGCCTGTTTATCGACATCACTGCCGTTCGCTATGTCGAGGATCACCCCGAGGGCGAGGGTGTGCTGGCGACCAAGAACGGCCACGAGTTCCGCGATACATTCCTGTATCCCTTGCTCGATACCACTTTTGAGGGTGTCAAGGCCAAGATTCCTTACAAGTACAAGGAGATGCTTATCTCTGAGTATGGAGAGAAGGCTTTGACAAATCAGGAATTCATGAAGTAAGTCTTCATAATCTCCAATGCACCAACTGGTTGTTAACGATATTCTCTAGCCATAAATTCATTGACAGCAAGATGCAATGGATTCCTACTGATGAACTCTGAATCAAAAGGCATAGGCGGCTGTACGACTTTCACGGATAGGTGTATGGGCTCAGGCGTTTGTGTCAAACTTTCGGACAAGGTGTCCGCTTTTAAAACTGATCAGTCTTCATTTGTGGCGTTAGGGAATACCCAAAGCTCTGATTTCAATAAGAAAAATGCCAATTTTCGCTTCAACCCAAACCTGTTGCTGCATGCTCGCTGTCCATATCAAACTGCTCCTCATGTCTCAGACCTAGTCCTTGTCAATATCCTCGACCACCGCCTCCGCGATAGCACCGCCACCTTCCACCATGCTGGTACTCCTGATTTCGGTCATGGTCACATTGTCGTGCTCCCCAGGTTTACCGAAGTGTTGCTCTGAGTACAATCATCCATGGTCCGCTTCAAATGACCTTGTAGAGCGCTGATGTGGACAATCAGGGGGCATTTGGGACCGCCGCTACATGTATGCGGGATGCGGCTTGCCAAATCGTTGACGCGCTGAAAAATTGTCGAGAGAGTGGCATCGTCCGGCTTCAAAATAGTGGTGGGCCACAGTGTCTGGAGCGCGAGGATCCTGAAGTACTCGCCGACTCGAGAATTTTTCGTACAGACATCATCGTACAGTGTTCCGTTGAGACAAAGGTGGCATAATTTGGCATTGGACGGGTGTCGCCGTCCACAGCTGAGACAGAGCCGTCTGTCGGTGATGTATCCTTCGCTCTGGGTGTCCAGGATGCCCTCGAAAGACCAAATATGCGAGCAAGCCCGTACCAGTCGTTCGTTGACATCAAACTGGAGTCCATCTAGAGTTGAACCGTGTTAGCTTCATGCATTCGACATATACCAGCTTCTATTCAGTTGTCATGGCGCAGAAAATCGCGGAAACAGTGGAGAGATAACAGGGACCAGCGAAAGTGTAACTCCGTCACTCTTACCGAGAGATTTGCAATTTTCTAGAGTAAAGAGCAGCGGGTGTCTTGCCCAGATTTTTCGGAAATGTATCGGAAGATTGCGAATAGCAAACTGCCTCAGCCTGACGAGTTCGTCTTTGGCCTCAAAGTTATCCGCTGACTGCAAAAGCATTCCAAGCTCCACAACAGATGGCTGTTCGCCATCGATAATGGTCTGGAGGGCTTTTGGGTACCAGATGCCGATCTACGGCGCGAGCGCGTCGTTACACTTCATGAGAAGGTTGGTTTCCGAGACTCGAAGAAGCTCTCCAATGTCGAGTTTCATGTATTGATCCTTGTTGGTGTGGTGCAAGACCGAAAGTATGCAGCGGAGGGCTTGCCTGTCACTTCCCCATGATCCAGGTAAGAGACGGTTGAAGATGAACTTGCAGCCATCCTGTCTGCTCACCTGAGTATCGATCAACTTTGCAAATGGTGGCGAAGCAACCCGGCAGATCTGGGAGGATACGCGGAAGCCAGCGAGCATTGTGTTCCGAGAGTCGAGGAGAATTACGTATAAGTCTCCATCGGGGAAAATGGTTTCGGACTGCCCGGCGAATTGCTTCAATTGCTGGACGTCCGGGAACTGAGGAGCGCCCCCCGAAGGCTGTCCCTCGTGGAGCTGCTGATGCTGCCCAGAATTTGTGTGGTTTTCCATCCCGGTCGATTGCATGCCGTTGACCATCCTCTCAGGTGTGCGATTTTGGCCGTCCATAGCGATACGTGTAAGCGATAACGCGGCAGAAGTGGCCGTGGTAGTTTTACGGAACCATAAAAGTAGCACAAGCCACCAGATGGGGATGGAGTTGGCGGGATGAGGTAGAGAGGATGGAGAAGTTTAAGGAGGAAGTTGAAATAAAACGCTTGGATGCTATCTGCGGAGCTTCTACAGCAATAAGTGCGCTGTCTCTTGCTTTCCGTTGAGATGTCCGTCCAGAAGGCAACTGCCGGCAATATAGCATTTGAAGAGGGTAAGACCTACCTGGCCATACCAAGGGAAGAACCACCATTTGAGTCTTGAATGAGAATGGGTGAGGCAGTATATTTCATTGATTCGAATGGTTTTTTTCAAAATTTGAATATGATAGGAAGCTTGAGAGCAACCGTTGATGCTCCATTTGATAGTTTGCCTGCTTATTACGGTGCGAAAGTGTCAAACGGTTCGATACACAATTCAAGCAATGTGAAAGGCCAGGAGGATTGATATCGACCCCAAAATCTTGATGAGTAGAATTCTATGAACGCTGATTCTAAAACTGATCTAGGAAAATGATTTGAAATCAAAATGCTTCTGCTGCCCAATTGCCCCCTGTCCTGAAAGCCAAGATTACCAACAAACCTACGTACTTGCCGCTTGAGATTCGCCAAGATCATGCGCCCACTCTACTTGCCTTCGCATTTCAACTCCTCGCTGGGTTCGTCCACGCCGTCAGCTGTGGCAACAACATCGTCAGTGGTAGAAAGCTTCAGCTTCCAGCCCCTGATGCCATTAATCACCTCGACCACGGCGTTGTCCAGCTCACCCAGTCGCTTCTTCAAGGGGCACCTCTGGTCAAAGTCACACCGATGAGTGCTTGTTTCTCTGATCTTATTGAAACGGCGTGCGATGTCGGCAATGGTACCCTCGCGCCATGCCTTTTCATTCGGGTACAGTTGGTACTTTGTGAACATGAGCGTGCACTCAGCTACTCGTGTCTCGGGAGAACAGACGACTGGAAAGTCACAGACTTCAGACTGTTGGCCACTGGCAGGCGGGCAGTTGGGGCAACGGATGTTCTGGGTTCTCTTGTAGATGCGGAGACACTTGCTGCAGCGGGAAGTGTCCATCAGGCCAATCTCAGATTGGTTCCGTCCAAGATCGATGATGGTTTCCTGCAAGAGAGCGTACAGACGTCGCCTCACTGACTTCGTCTTGCGAACGATGTTGCCTAGGAACTATTAGTCAAAGTGCCTCTCAACCTATTCATCTTAGCAAACTCACGAATGACATTGTCCGGCAAGGCAGACACAACCTCGTCTTCGTACCAAGCACTGAAGTCAAAGTTCATTGGGAGATACAAGATAGCAGATCTTGTCATCTTCTGAAACTTTGCCGACTCGCCGAGGTACGCAGTCGCTGCCAAGAGGTAGCCAACGTCCCCATGCTCCACCTGCCCAAAGTTGACGAGCCAGTGATTCACCCACAGTCTGAGAGACGCAGAACAGTCGTACTTGTCTAAATGCACGGCCATGACTGCAATCATCTTGGCACTGAGGTTGTACCACTCGTCTTGGTGCTTGTAGTGTAGAATGGAAAGGATGATCTCCATGGCGTCAGGGTTGTCATGGTGCAAGATGATATCGGGCTTCGAATCAGGTTGAGTCTTGGCGCCTTCCTCGAACTTGGAAGCAAGTAGGGAGTTGAAGGACTTGGATGCGACTCTCAGAATGTGAGACGAGACGAGGAATTTCTTCTGGGTGTTGTTATGAGCCACAATGAGAGTAACATCCCACGAGGGGTGTAGCTCGACGATAGACTCGTCTGCCATCTCAACGTCGGCCATTCTGGGAGAGTACCGCTGAGAGGTGGTGTTTCTTAGAGATTTAAATTGTGTAGATATGATTCAGACGATCATGAAATGGAGAATGTGAAACTGCGCTTGATATTTTCGGAGTCTAGGTTGGAGATGTAATGTCGACAATGAGTGATTTTGTATCTTGTCAGCTATAGAGAAGATAGGTGAATAAAGTCATGAAAATATCGAGGAAGAGTGAATGAGATGTATGGGAAGGTAGGCCCCCCCTCTCCCAGAGGGCAACGATCAACCGAAGGAAGCTTGAGGAATAAATTTGCTGTTGCCTGAGTCTGAATGGCGAAGGCTGGTTTTGTATTGATAGGTTGACGGTCAAGTTGGAAAGTTGAAAGTTGGAAGCTTTAGAAAGGATGCAAATATTCTGTTTCCTCATTAAACATCTTGAGTTTACTGCGGCTGGATATGACAATCGAGAAGGAGCTGTTTGACGGAATGTTGGTATCGGGGGCAGGTATGATGGTATCTGCAAGAGGGCAAGACTGACATTTCAAGACTTGGAAGACTGACTTGCAACAAAGGGAAGACAAGTCCAAGTAAGGAAAGCGTTCAGGAAAGTCTGCCGACTTAGGTCATGATCAAATCCTACTGAGATGGCGTCGAGGTTTTTGTATCAAGAGCTTTTACTTGGCCTGGCTGGCAAGAGCTACGGGAAAAAGCAGATATCGGATTTTAGTATCCTGAACTCAATTAACAAAGCTGCTTTTAGTTTACACCTAATATGTGACTTGAACCTTTGAGTGGAAGGAAGGGAGTATTTGGGAGCACAGAGTTGAGAATGCCAGTGAGGGAGCAAGTGTGATGCGTTCATCATCCCTCAATTTACGAGCCAAACAAGACATGAACCTCTGCTTCTTGCTCAATTTAAAGTATATCTCAGTAAATTCAAGAGTGCCACTTGATGAATGCCTTCTTGAATACCTTTGAGGGTTAGTAGTCCTTTTCATCCCCAAGCAGTGACAAAGCAATGGTTCATGGAGAGGCATACCTTGGTGTGTGGAGTTCCAAGTCTGGATGCTGCTTGTGCACGGGCCACAAACGGCCTGCAGGGGTGTCCTGTGTAAAGGGTGTCGCGACACGCCTGGCCACTACTTTAGTAGACGCGCCGCCCCTCAGTCTGCTGTGCAGAGATCGGCCTGAGCTCGTTCAAGTATGCGCTTCCAAACCACAATAGTCACAAATTGATGTCTCGTTCTTCCTCAATGATATATCTCTTGCGCACGAATAATCTGGGGTTTTCATTTGCACTTGCGAACTCGTCCTAGTCCGCAGTCATGACCAGTGAGTCCCATCGTAGAGCCCCACCAATGATTGATGCTGACCTTCAACAGCACGAGGGGAGCGCATGCAACAGCGCATGCGAGGAGCTGGGTAAGCTATTCCGGCCCATTTAATGCTTTCTGCCTAACCAAAATACGTGAAGACATGGCCAGATTGAGGATGTTTCGTTCCAATTGGACTTTGGCGACGACCTCACAACCGAAATTGAAGCGCAAACTAGCCCCGAGAGGCCGCCGCCCCGACCGACACCGACCCCGAATACATCTGCCAAGCGGCGCAGATTAGACAGCGAAACAGCGCGACCTGCTATCACCGAGACGAACAATGCGAGCCAGACGCAGAAGTCGCCGGGAAAGCCCGATGTCTACGACATACAAGCAGAAACCTCTACGGAATCCGCCCAAGCCACGGCCGCGCAGCCCGCAGCGAGCCCCGATGCCGTCGTCGAAGCCGGCAACCCGGACTCGGTCGAGTCTCTGCCTCCGCCACGGCCCGCCCCATCAACGTCATTCGTTTCACCAGTATCGAGGAGGATGACAGCAGATAACACCGAGGTGGAGGAGAGTCCTGCGGATGCGCCGGGCAGTGGGAGACGGCGGAGGATCACAACAAGCAGTGCTGTCGCGTCGAGCGCAAGACTACAAGAAGCCCTATCCCCGGGAGAAAACGCGACAGAGACTGTTCCAATATCATCTCCTTTGGAGCGCAAAGTGCGGCGGAACACGACTAGCACTCGCAGGTCCACACTCAGCTCTCGTGGGAGTCGCAATTCGGCCGCATCCGCCAACGAGGACCTGGACGAGCTCTCTCCGGATCGGACAGCAAACTCTGTCTCTAGGACAAGGTCTCCCGAGCTTTCATATCGTGGTGAAGCAGAGCCAGATGAAGCGGAACCAGAAGCATCAGAAGTACCTGCCGACGTATCAGAACGAGCAACAGCGAACAACTCTCAAACCGAGTCGATACTAGGACCGGAGCTGGACGCGATCGTTGACGAAGTGCTGCAGCAGGAACAGGATCACAATGAAAGCTTGGCAGAGGAAGTGGGCGCGAAGGAAGCAGCTCAACAACTGAGTCGGAAGCGACCGCGCACCAGTCCACGGAAGTCATCCCCGGAACCAGATTCTACAATAGCTGAAGAGGAGCAGCAAGAAGAGCCCGTGCCGAAGAGGCGACGGAAACAAGCTCAAAAGAGCCCAGCGAAGCAGAAGCAAGGCAGACCGAAGGCGGCCTCCAAAGGCAAGGCGGCTTCCACAGCGAAGGACGCCTCACCCAAAGCTGTGCCGAAGCGCAGGAAGAAGCCTGGATCAGATGGGGTCGATGAGGCTGTATCCATCCCCGTGCAGCGCTTCACAAAACGTGTGCAAGTGGCTGAAGGCGGCGACGACGAAGCAGATGTGCTCGCTATGGATATCCCTTTCGCCGGGCGCGGCGGTGTGAACACGGTCGACGTGTTGACCCATATGTGCGACGAGATTATCGAGACTAGCATAGAAACCCTGAAGGAGGGAGTGCGTAATGCCCAAGATGCATCCACCAAGAGGGAACATCGCGTGCAGCAACGAGCCCTGGAAGCGTATCAGGACGAACTGAGGACGCGGCTCCTCCAACATGTGGGTAGATCCGCATCCCGAGGCTGGAGGTGGTTGCCACCGTACGTGCTGACTCAAAAAAATTCAGACCATTCTCCTCGACACGCTCCACAGCTTGCGCAAGCGAGTACGCAGTGTCCAGAAAGAGAGGATCACTCTTCGGGACGAAATCATGCGCATCCGAGCCGAGCGAGACCAGGTGGCGCTCCGGAAAGATGCCGTCAGGATTAAGCACGAGAGGGTGACGGAAGAAGCACTGGTAATGTCACACCCTCACCCTGCCCAAAAGGCGACACTACACACCTTAACTCAGCCTTACGAGCTCTTGCTAACCGCCCGTTGTGTTTGTGTGTGCCCACAGAACCAATTGAGCTTATCTTCGCAGATGCATGACATTGACATGGCCGTGGAGCGCGGTCGCGCGGCCCCCGAGCTGAGCCCGGCCGAGAAGAAGACGGCAGAGTTGGCGAACCTCGAGATTTTGATATCTAGAATCACAGACCAGGCCTGTACGCGCAGCGACACGGGGGGCACGCTGAAGCAGGTGAAGGATTTCAACGCGTTTCTCGAACGAGCTGCAGTAGCTCTCGAAAGTCGATAGACAATAGACGAGACGCAACAGAGAGACCGGAAGAGAGGCAACGAATGGCCAAAGCGATGGCGATGTGGTGTATTTGCCCACGTCATACCTGATCTTCACGACGAGTTTGGCGTTCATGTACGATGCTTGGGGTAAGCAAAGCTTGGGCTTTGGGGGGGAAGAGGCAAGGAGGGGAGGGTTTCGACGGGTGGCCATTGCCGGGGATACCCAGGAGATTCGGCTTTCGGCTCCCTTCCCCTCTTCCCAATTGATGACTATGATAATTCAGGCCAAAAAAGCCAAAAGAAGGAAAGCAGCTGCTTCAGCTTCCAGCCCTTCACGGGGGGGTTACCAATAGGCGGGCGTTTACTACCACGCCGTTCTGGTGCAAACTCTATTCCCCAATAACACGACGGTCCAAAGAGGGAAAAAGCTGTCTTACTTAGGAGCTGCGTAGAGCGTCATTTACTTTTGAATTGAAGACGAAACTAAGCGCCAAAGCAAATCTAAACTGGCCCAAAGGGAAGCGACGAGAGTCTGGACCGTTTCCCTATCCTCTTTTCCAAATCCAAATCCAAGAAGAACTTTTTTGTTCTCTTTGGAAGTGACACTATTTTTGGTCTTGTTGGTCTCCATTCCCCATTTTGACGTCACTAAGCCTTATTCGAGTATGACTATGCGCCCTCCCCCATCCACGTCCCAAACCTAACTATCAGATCTCTCTTTCCGCACACTACTCTTGTAAATTACCCTGCAATGCATGAGCCAGTTGAGCCCAAGCCATCATTGACATCCGTCATTCTACCCCATATAGTACCGTCGAATACCACCGTAACTGGTTGGGGATCCCTGGAAATCGGGGTGGCCGTGTTGTCACTTTTGGTAGGTAGGCGTCCCGGGTCCGTGTGTCTTTTTTTTCGTTGTTGTTCCCACTCTCCGCAATGTGGCGGTCGGCCACCCGGTAACTTCCACGCCTGCTAAGAACTGAACCGTGAGGTAAACTGCACAAGTGTGTGGTGGTAAGGTTGAGCTTCCCCGTGCTGCCCAGTGTGCCCGTATCATGACATCCCATCACGGAAGTACGGCACTTTTCTTCCCTGCAATACCTGGTGCCTTGTCCCCAATTCGTTTCCTGCAAAGTTCCTACAATCTAATTCCCGGCCTGCCCTACGTGCATCACACACACGCCCCCCCTTCCCTCCTCCCACTTTCTCTCCCCTTCGCTGTTACTCTGCCACTTCTGCCCCCCTCTCCAATCCCCTGGACCCTGTGCTTCGCCCGACGACGAAGCCACAGAAGAGAGACGAAAAAACTGGGCTTCGGCCACGGCGAGTGGGCGAATGATTGGATGTTTTGATCATGGTTTGCCGCTTTTGCATCCGATGAGAGAGAGAGAGAGCTGCGCTTATTCGGGGGGCCCAGTGGAGGGAGTGCGAAAACCGGGAAAGGCCACCACAGGAGGGGGAGGGGTGTATGTGTGTGACACTGAGCCGAGTGAGTTGGTCTAGTTTGGACAGGATAGGATACCTAGGATAGGATAGGTCAGGATAGGTCACCCCGACGAGGTTTAGGGATCCTCGGCCACCGACCGCTTCAGCTGGGGCTCATTGGGGGAGACGAGGGGGGAGGAGGGCGCCCAGTCTCCTAGTTGCTGAGGTGTGTGCTACTTTTACTAGGTAGCTACCTACGTAAGTAAGGTGAGGGAGGTATGGTGGTGAGCGAGTACATAAGGCGGGAGGGGGAAGCTCTCCTTCTCCTCATTTCTTCTCGACCCAGTTGTTAAATCAAACCACCATCGCCATCATCTTCACATAGACGTCTGTTTAGACCAGTACATACAAACCGCCACCTCTCTTTCCACCACCAGAACAAACCAAACCGTCAACATGCCCGCTCCCGAGGCTCCCCAGCAGCAGGCCCCCATGGAGGTCCCCGTTGAGAACGGCATCGTCACTCAGCAGCCCGTAAGCTTACCTCCCTCTTTCCTACATCACGAGTCCAATGGTGCTGACAATGAGATGATAGTCCGCCGAGCCCCAGCCCGAGATGGGTCTCCGTGGTGGTGAGGAGGCTGGCTGCGAGCTCTGCTGCGGCCTCTGCGGCTGCGAGGAGTCTTGCTGCTAAGCAATTCCTTTCCACACGATTGACGGGAAGATGACAGTGGAGGAGATGAAACTTATGGGAAGAACCTGAGGGTCACCCACCCTTTTTCCGGCGTTTAGGGGCGATTTACCACCATCACCTACCGATTCTAGGAGGAGAAGGGGAATGACTTGGAGATTTTGGAATGCCATTATATATATCACCGATAAACAATCGAATATATTACACTTTCACATCATATTCTATTGCACCCTTCGAATGTTTGGAGCCAAGCAATGTCGTTGAAGAACAGAGGCTCAAAAAAAGTCTTGGGGTGATGCGAGGCGGCGGTCCCTGGGCTGCCAAGCTTTCAAGTGCGCGGGTAGATCTCTTGGGAGTCTTGGCACGCCTTAGCGAGGTGCTTGGAAGGGCTGAGTGGCAGCAGTGTGTGCGAAAGGGGGCTCGGGTACGTACGTCAGACCTTCGCTGCAGAAGACGCCCGCAAGCCGAGACATTTGTTTTTTTTTGCCAGTCGGTGTAGCTTTGCTGGTTACTGCGCCATGCTGTCAACACTTCACTTCCTCCTTCCCCTGCCATTGGAGTATCCTGCATCACCGCCTTTTCTGGGCTCATTGGGTCTCCGTGGAAGAATCATCCGAGGTAGGTAGAAAGAAGTCCATCGCACTTCTTTCAGGGCCTCCTAGCGTCGTCATTCGTGCCGATGACCGTGCAGCGAGGCACGTACTCAGGAGAAATGACGATGGACCTCCCGAGTCCCGTCTTCTTCCCGTCGGTTCCGCGAAGCATTACCACCCCCTTCCCTCGATACCTAGTCGATGCACCCCTTGACGTGTTCACGAGCCCATTCCTGTCATGGTTTCAGACTTTGCAGGTTGCTGAGTGATTTTGTGCGATTTTTTCCCTATCACTTACCTTGCTTTTTTCCGCCATTTGCTGGTCTGACTTCAGGTGAAACGCGAACTCTACCTTATTCCTCCATCCCCTATCCCCCTGCCACCTTCACCTCCCTCCCCAACTGCCGCGGACTGCGGACCGGAAGCTGGAACCCCTGGCCCTTTATCCTCCATTCTTTGAACACGAGATGGGATGAGAGTTTCACGGCTGACGCTGACCCTTGTTGAGGGAATTTACTGGGGTGAGGAGGCCTCGGTAGGTTGTAAGTCATTTGTCGTTGTTAAGGAAGTGCCGTGTCGTTTTTCGCGTCGGTGTGAGGTTGGCCAAGTTCACGTCACAATCTCAGCTCTCACCCTGACTTGTCTCGATCGGTCTCTGTAAATCTTCCACCTCGAGATTGAAAATATCTCAAAAGATGATCTGAAGCAAGTTCAATGAGCGAAAGTGTTGAAGAGAGAACTGAGCCAGTGTCAGGCTCTTTTTTCCTTTGCATTCGGGAATGCGTACGTAGAAGTACAGGGTAGTCTACAATCGCCTTTACAAAGGCCGATATCGTGATATACAAAACCCACGGTAACCCCAACCACGAGGCTTCTAACGATCCAATACTCCAACTTCAATCATCTCATGTGGCTTCTCTCACAGATTACCTCTGTTGTAGCAGGCCCGAGATAACCATCGCCCCAGAAACCCAAGGGTCTTTCTTTTTACTTCCCACCGCCAAACGTCCCCGAGATACGATCCACAATCGTAGCCTTGCCCTCCGCCTTGCGCCTCTCCTTCTCCTTCTCCTGCTCGTCCCACAGCTTCTGCACGTTCTTGGCCACCTCGACGTTGGCCTGGAAGTCCGCCCGCAGCGCCGCCTCCTCGGCCGCCCTCTCCGACTCGGGCAGCTGCTCCAGCTTCTCCTTCCACGAGGTCTCCAGGTCCGGCCTCGGCGTGTGCGCCGCGGCCGCGGCCGGTGCGGCGACGGGTATCGTGAAATCGAACTTGGGCACGGGGAGGCCTTGCTTCTTGGCGGCCTCCACGGCCTCTTCCTGCTCAATCATGCGCCCGTAGAGCTGATCTGCGTGCATCTGGATGTCTTCTTCCACTTGCGCTGAGCGGCCGTTGATGGATTGGTAGCCTAGGGCTTTGAGAAATCTCTGTTTGGGCAGTGTGTTAGTATCATGTCTTCCCCAGCTGAGGTGAATTGAAGATGGGTCAAGGGGGTGATCCGCACCGTCTGCATGGTATAACACCTCTCAAACTTTTGCACCTGACGCCTGCACATCTGCATCCTGTCCTCCCAGTCGCCGCTCTTCATGCAGTTCACCCACTCCTCCTGCTGAATGGCGCAGTTCTCGAGCGCCGCCCTGCCAATGTTGTGCTTCCGCTGCTTGAATCCGTCCAGCACGTCCATGAGCTTCTCGTGGTCCGTCTTCGTCTCGGCCTCGATCTCGGCGTAGGGCCGGTACGTCTTCCACAGGTGCGCGTACCGCCCGTCCTGGAAGAGGCTCTCTTTCGGCACAATTGGTCGTTCTGCGGCGGCGGCGGCACCTTGTGACTGTGATTGCGACTGGGCCTGTGCTTGTGCGTTTGCTTCCGCCGCCAGCGCTGCTTGCGCGGCGATTCGAATGGCCTTTTTCTCGGCTTCTTGGACCTGCTGCTGCTGCTGGATCTTGACGGGGGATTCGCGCTCGAGGTATTCGCGGAGCTTGGGGTCGAGGGACTTGAGAGGGTCGTCGGACGAGGCGCTGGGGCCGAACCAGCCGTCGAACCAACCCATTGCGACGGAGAGACTTGAGGATGAACGGAACAAGTCTTTGGGAGAAACAAGAGCTTTCACCTGGACGAGTTTGGAAAGGATTGAGAAGCTTGGGGACTTTTCGGCTTGTCGCAAACTGGAAGCTCTGGGAGAATTTCGAGGTGGGTGGCCTTGAACCAATCAGATGGCTAAGAAGACAAGGAACAGTTGTGCATACTACATAATGCGCACTGTGGCTGACACTGTTACATCAGGGTCACTCCAATTATGCTGCTCTCGAATATGTTTGATGACCTTTAAGTCTGTAAGTGCGTCTCCCTCTACGTATTTGGCATTACTCCGTGAATAAATGTGCTGGTACTAATTTGGACATGGACTTGTTTTGTGATCATTATCGAGCTGAGGCTTCCATTTATGACAGCTCTCAACGTCTTGGTCCAAAAGACCGTCGTTATACGGGACGTTGTGACAGAGTCGAATGGGGCACAGGAACAGCATGTCACTGGATCACCGAGGAGTCTACAGTGGCACAGTCAACCCATCCTAATCATTTTTTTTCGTTCATTTGACCCGAGGCGTATCGCAGTTTTCCGTTCCCGCAAAAATCACAAGCCCATCGTGTGCCCAAGACAGCCAGAGAAGAATCTCTAGATCACAACCACGTGGCTTGGCTGATCGAATTCATTTTGGTCTCTGATTCTGCATCTATAACACAATCATGTGGATGCAGTTTCCCTGATGACCTCCCATCCGGTATGTAATGAAGAACCCACACCGCAGTCACGCCGTAAATGCCAATGAGCCGATTTAGAACTTGCTGAAGGACTTGACAGCCTTGCCGGTGCGGGGAAGGACGCGCAGGACGTTGAAGCGGACCTGAAGCCAGGAGTGTTAGCAAACAAGACATCTGATAGAAAGAACGAGCCCCAGGATCAGGCGTCGATCGTGAATGTAGCGTCGCAAACGTACAGTCTTGCTGAGGGGTCTGCACTGGCCAACGGTGACCTGATCACCCTCCTCGACACGGAAAGCGGGGGAAACGTGGGCGGCGAGGTTCTTGTGGCGCTTCTCGTAACGGGCGTACTTGGGGATGTAGTGAAGGTATTCTCTGCGGATGATGAGGGTGCGGTGCATCTTGGTGGAAACGACGGTGCCGGTAAGGATACGACCGCGGATAGAGACCTGGCCGGTGAAGGGGCACTTCTTGTCTGGAGGCGTCCAACGTTAGCATTTCAGTCCCTCGATTTGTTTGTGTTGATTCCCAGCACGCGTTGCAACAGTCCTCCGTCGTGTGTCGTATGTTTCCTCCTCTTGACCTCCAAAGTTCCAATCCTCTCCTGCCGTCGTTTACAGTCCTCCATTCGTGTCGCAAAGTTTCGTCGAAATAAAAACGTCGTGTCCGTCGCGCGCGCATGGGATTTCCAACACTTCAATCGATCTCGCTCGCAAACGTACCGATGTAGGAGCCCTCAATGGCAGTGGCGGGGGTACGGAAACCCAGACCAACGTCCTTGTACCATCTGCGGCCGCTCTTGCCGGGGCGAGCAGACTTCGCCTTGGTCTTCTGGTTAAGGAAGATACCCTTCTGCTTCTGGAAAGCCCTCTCGGACTGGACGGTCAACTCGGTAGCCATCTTGACGTCGTGGTGCGGTCGACTGGGCGGGGGTGGGTGCTGTTGAGGGTTAGGAAGTCGTTGATGCTGAGCCGCAACTTTTCACCAGAGTCTGCAAAATCGGGGGTGAGAGAACGTGAGGGTCGGGCCTGCCCTGAAATTGTCATTAGGGCTGTGGACATGAAAAAATTAGCGAGGCGCCAGCCCCACCAGTGTTCAGCCACGTTCAGCATTGCAGCCACAGGTCGAACTCTCAGCCACTTTCGGACCATGTCAGCCACAGCTGACAAAGACTCACAGATTCTGTACCCTGGCACGCCTGGTCACAAAGGTGGTCCATGCGGTGACAGCGGTCTTTGGCGCTACCACGGCAACAAAATCGCGTCTATTGACATCACTCTCTGCAAGCCAATCAGAACCCTGGTGGGCAGTAAACAAGACCCATGACAGCCCACCACCTTGCTTTCGAGGGAACATACCTAGATCCTTTGGGCACATTCACGCCACTACCGATTTCAGTCGCGTAGCTCTCCCCAAGTTTAAGAGGTGACATGTGCACGCTTCTTTCTTTGATCTGAAGCCTGATAGCAGCACATCGCCACCACCAGCACCGACTTTCAATATGGCTTCATTCGGCGATGCGACACTACCCTCTACGCGCCGGACACGCAAGTCCATCGGCGCGACCACGTCCTCAAGAAAGAATGGCGACAAGGAGAATGCGACAATCGACGTTGGAAGTACCCTTGCTGAGAGCAGGAAGAAGTCGCGTAGCAAGAGTATTGGCCCTGGAGGTCTGGACGCCCTGAAAAGTGCAAATGGGAACCGCAGAGCTGTAAGCAGTGTCGTCCTGACCATCGTCGTCTCACGCGACTAACATGCGTACCTCAGTCTTTAGCTGTGCCTTCACGGCCTCCGCCACGATCTATCTTGAAGCCCACAATGCCCTTACTACCTGAGATTCCACCACATCGAAAGCGCGCATCCGACCTCATCGATCTTGGCCCGCCCCGGTCAAGCACCCCAACCACTACAGGCAGTACCGACCCTACAGGCTCAGGCTCCAAGATTGCCTTGCGCACCGAGGAAGAGCAGCAACAAGCAGCCAAAGAGCGCGAGCGCAGAGATGCAAGACGTAAATCTCTCGCAAATCGCAGAGTATCTTTCGCCGCGGAGGCAACCCTTCACACTTTCCATGAAATCGATTTCATGCAAGACCCGAATACATCAACAAACAAGTCGCGCCGCAGATCCTCTACCTCAGCCCCGCAAATTGAAGAGCCGACGGAGAGGCCATCAACCCCGCCAGAGCAGGATGACGATATTGTACCTCAGTCGCCCGACAACCAGAGAGAACTGCATCAGAAGAAGCGCAGGAGGAGCTCCACCGCGCCGCTCATGGAGTTTTCCGATGAGGAGCAAGACACCATGGCCACAGGTTTCAGCTCCGACTCTGAGCCAGCGGATGCCGTCGAGGAAGTTGCAGACGACGATGAGGAGGAAGCGTCTGATTCTAATAGCGACTCCGACGATGATGATGGCACGATGATGACCGTTGACGACCACGAAGTTACCAGCGCCTCGGTCATGTCCAGCCGGACAACAACATCAGATGACGATAATGACAGTTTGGATGAGGCACTCCGCACTGCTGCTCGGCAGGCTGGCACACAGAGGCTCGGTTTCGATGATAGTGATGACGAAGAAGTCATTCCCTCTTTTGGTTGGATCAAGAAGAGCAAGCCTGAAGACGAGGCATCGCAAGACCAAGAGAACACTGCCCCTCCCCCTCCCGTCCACAATAGTCCGCCCCAGGATGTGGATGGAGATGACCAGGACATGGATATGGACATGGAAATGGATATGACTGCTGCCGTCGGAGGCATCCTCGGTAAACCAGCCGGCGACATCGAACCAGACGAAGAGATGTCCATGGATGTTACCAGAGTACTGGGCGGCATTCTCTCTCGAAATACCAAAACACCCACTGAGAATGACGTGGAGGACCAGACCATGGAGTTCACCACAGCCGTCGGTGCCATTCGCGATTCTAACGCCGATGATGATCTTTTCGACGACACTGGGGTGGAAAACGAGGACATGTCTATGGAATTCACGAGTGCCATTGGCGGTCTTCTGCCGTCACATCCCAAGAACGATGCCTCCCAGAAGCGCCGTAGGACAATGACATCCCGCGAGAACCCAGAGGAGGCAACGATGGACATGGACATGACTGTCGGTGTTGGTCGCATACTGCCAGTGGCGGACGCGACTATCCACGGAGGAGACGCGACGATGGGCATGGACATGACTATCCCGGTCGGCCGCATCCTGTCTTCACAGGACGACACATTGAACGAATTGACGACGCCAATGGACATGACGCTCCCCGTTGGCCGTATTCTGCCCTCTTCCCAAGTGTCTGACCAAGACGAAGCAACTATGGGCATGGACATGACCATGGCAATCGGAGGCATCATTCAACCTTCCCAACCTCCAGAGTCTCGCCTCGCCGCCAAGAAACTCATGGAAGCGGAAGTGGATAAGCCAGACACCTCTACCAAATCCATGTCCGCAAAGCCTGCGTCACCTGCCAAGAAGCTGGCTGCCTCGGCCAAGAGACACTCAGTTGCAGGATCAGAAAATGCAAGCAGCCCTGGGTTTAACCCTTTCCAAGGCAAAGGCCTTCGTCAGAGCATGCCGGGTACAGGCTCCATGTCAGAATCACCGGCTAGAACCAGAGCTAGAACCAGAACACCCAGCCCGCCAAAGTCTGTCGCGCCGTCACACGCCGCTGCTGGAACACCACTCGACAGTTCTCCAGTCAAGACGCCTCAGTCGGTAAAGAAGCCTGCTCGCTCAAAGTCAAAATCTCCAACTAGAAAGCCTGCTACTCCTTCTCCTGAGAAGACCGCTACTCGGTTGAATATCTTCCAGCAAGATCCAGCCACCGGCGCGAGGACGCCAACCTTTGTTCTGACACCGCAAACCCGGAGGCACTCTGGCATCGGCGCGGACAAGCCGGGCCTCGGGTCACCCCGTGTTGCTGCGCTCCTTGACCGAAGGGGATCTCTCGGTGAGACGGTCCAGGAGTTCGTTCCCGGTAAGGTCCGTGGTGTAGCCTTTGCTAAACCACAGATTATTGAGGATGAAATCGATAGGGCCCGCCAAGAAGAGGAAGACAAAGAGAATGGCAGAAAAATTCTTGAGCGTGAAGCGGATGGTGGTGAAAACGAAAAGGACGCGACCTTGAACTTGAGGGAGATGATTGAAAGCTTGAGCCCTCAGAAGAAGCGCCTGCAAAGCCGAAAAAGTCTTCACGTTGGAAGTGCACGGGGACTACTTGGCAAGCGGCCTGCCGAGCTCGATGACGAGGAGGATAGTGAAGACCGCGACGGTGTCAAGAGACTCAAAGGCCATCAAGGCAGCCCGGTAAAGAATGTCAAGCTGCAGCAGCCTCCCAGTAAGGCAGAGACTACCGGTCGCAGATTGACACGATCTGCCAGGAAAAGCATGGAGGAAAATGCTGCAGCGAAAGCAACGCCCACTCATTCTGAGTCGCCTCAGAAGCCTGCAAGCTCAGCGAAGTCACCAAAGGGGCACGCTCGATTCAAAGATGTCGAGGAAGACACTATCCCGCACCCAATGAACCTGGAGGGTTCCCCTGCTCGAGACGAAGCTGAAATCATTGACGACGATGCTGAGGAGCGGATTCACCTACAGGACTTCCTCAACATGACATCAATTCGCTTCATGGAGCTGACAACCACCAAACGACGTCACACGCAAGCTCCTGATATGTTCAAGGACTTTGGCGGCAAGGAGGATTTATCACTGGAGAACTGCGTCGTCGCCGGTGCATGCACAGTACCTATGCTTGAGCTCTACCAGCATTCGTGTCGCGAACTCAAGAAGTACATCTCCGAGGGCCGTCGAATCGTTCGCGAGATCGAGTCTGAGACCTTTGAGGAGAATCCGCCCTTGTTCCGAGAATACATGTCAGCATCGCCAGATTTCAAGAACATTCTTGACAATCAGTTCAAGAACGGCAAAACTCATGCTCGTCTCGAGAGCAAGGCAATGTGGTACGAGTGGCGAATGAAGCTCCAGGAGGGCCTGAGGGAGGGTCTTGTCAGGATCGCCGAGGGCATGGCCGTCGACGACAAGGTACTTCAGCAACAGCAAAAGTTGCTCTCCTCCGTCTTGCCTGCAATTGTGTCGCGTTTCGAGGTCCTTGAACAAGAGCACAAGAACCTGCGGGCTGTTGCAGAGGAGCTTGCCGATTGCGACCCAGAAGAGTTGGAGACTGCCAGGTTCGATTTGGCCGCGCTTGACAACGATGTCCAAGAGAAGACTCGGCGGGTTGAGGAGCTCCGAAAGCAGCTGCAAGACGCGGAACAAGACGTTGAGCAACTTGCGCAAGAGAAGCAACAATGCCACGAGGACATCAAGGAGGCTGAAAAAATCCGTGAGGAATGCCGAGGTTGGTCGATCAGCGAGATCAGTGCGCTCAAGGGTAAGTTCCTTTTGTTGTATCCGAAGAAGTTTGACCCTACCAAGACTGACATGCCTGCAGCACGAGTGGATTCTCTTGAAAAGCAACACGGTTGGGCTGTAACTGGGGTTTCCGGAAGCACCGTCTCAATGACTTATCGCCGCGAGATTGAGCTGGTGTTCGACATGGCGTCCTTCCAGCGCGGCCAGAAGAACTCGCGCATTGACCTGTGGTACATTGCTGCAAATCGCGAGAATAACCCCCTGCCTTCAACGCCGGAAAAGGAATTTTTCCTGCAATGCATCCGGGACCACATCCGTGGCTTGCCGCAGAGCCGCACTAAAATTGCGGACCTCCTCCACATGGTTCATGTCGCGTGGGACAAGTCTAATTCCACTTCCAACCAAATTCGCCGACTCAACGTCACCTTCCCCACGGTTGTCTCCCGGACTTCGGATTCATCCATCGCAGTCAGGTCTTCGCTTCTTCTGCCGCCGATCGAGACTAAGGTGGTGATTGCCCTGGAGATCCATGGGGTGAGCAAGCCTGACGGAATCGACTTCACTTTGCAGCCCGAGGCAAATGTTGTTTATGGAGAGCACTTCAACACTGGCAAGATGGCCGAGTTCTTGACCACACACTTGGGC